GAAGTAGAGACCAAGCAAAAAAAGGGGGCTTCTCGAGATCGTCGTTTCTGTCTACCTTCTAGCTGTGTAGCAAGCCGCCACCCCCTTGTCGGAGCGATAAGTTTACGAAGTAATGTGTGTGTGTATCGGGTACACCTGAACTCCCAAAAGTCGTCCTGTTGCGTGAGGAAGTCCCTCGTGCTGCATCCCTGAGCACTGTTTACCCCCTCCGATTATAACCCCACCACCGCCTTACCCTCTCCCGAAATCCCGACCTTTTGTTATCCCCATTTGATCGATCCCTTTGACACTTTCTCCTTCACCGACCCCGGGTGTTTTTCTCCCTTCCTCTCCCTCCTTGGCGAGTTGTGTTTCTTCTGTCTTGACTATAAACACATCCTCACTTCTAATGAAACGGTCCGTCGTTTAAGAGAGGAGATTTGTGCTTCGGCAGCCACTTCCCGTAAACCTCTCGCCACATATCACGCCTTTTACTAGTTCTCCCTTCCTTCGAATTTGTTTTGCTTGCCCAACCCCTGCAACACGTATACGCGAAACAGTATCGTGCAACCATGGCGGATACGCCAGTAACCCCCGCCGCCGACATGGCCGACATGCCCACTGTCGCGCCGATGAGCGGCGCCCCTCCCAAGATGAAGAACCGACAGCGACTCTTACGGGGTATCCAGCGCATGTCCTCGTCTCCTTCGCTCACTCACATCGGCCGCCCGAGAGCATCTAGTGCGCCTTACGGCACGCGAGGCAGCTTCTCTTGCGTCAGCCTTGCTTCCAACGCCTCACCCTCAAGCTCTTATACTAGCACAACTTCATCTACCGTCGCCTCCTCCGCAGCTTCGACCTTGAGTCCATTCTCGGGCCCCGGTACACCTCTCAGTGAGGTATCCTCCTGCGACGAACTGGGCAACCCGCTTATTGGTGTTCGCCGTGTCGACAGCCTTCGGTCCTCGCCCTTATCAGCCACTTCGGCCCTGCCCTCCGATCTCCAGAGCGCCGCCAGGGCCCGTTCTGGATCGCAAACTATGAAAAAGAAAAAGAAGAATATAAATTTCTGGTCGGATATGCCCTACGAACTCAGAATCCAGATTTTCTCCTATCTGGAACCGAAAGAGCTTGTCAGGGTGTCGAGGGTGAACAAGGCTTTCTATAAGACGAGCTTCGATGGTCAACTCTGGACGCAATTCGATGCGTCCGAATTCTATAAAGAAATTCCCGCCGAGTCTATGAGCAAGATCATTGTGGCGGCGGCGTCCTTTATTAAGGACCTCAACCTCCGGGGTTGCATTCAAGTTGAGCACCACAGGCGCGCTGAGCTGCTTGTGAATGCGTGTAAGAACCTTGTCCATGTCAATCTGGAGGGATGCCGTAACCTTCAGCGTGCCACGCTGCACGGCCTTCTGAAGGGTAACGAGAGGCTCGAACGCCTAAACCTAACCGGTCTAACCGCCGTAACCAATGCTGCATGCGACATTATCGCCGAGTCGTGCCGGCATCTCGAGGTGCTCCAGGTGTCCTGGTGCAAGCGCATGGATGCCGAAGGTATCACGACTGTTGTTAATGCCTGCACGAGGCTGAGAGATCTGCGAGCTAGTGAGATCAAAGGCTTTGACGGCCTTGAGGTTGCAGAGGCTCTTTTTGAGAGAAATACTCTGGAGAGATTGGTGCTAAGCGGTTGTTCCGATCTTACGGATGCGGCTCTCCAAACGATTGTCCACGGCGTCAACCCCGAGATTGATATTCTCACCGATCTTCCAGTGGTTCCCGCTCGTGCGCTGAGGCACCTGGACCTCAGTAGATGCATGCAGCTTACGGATCGCGGAGTGTCGGCTCTTGGCCATTTGGTTCCGAACCTAGAGGGCCTTCAGATTTCCGGCTGTCCCAGCTTAACTGATGCTGCCCTGGAACCAATCTTCCAGACAGCGCCCCACCTTACCCATATAGAGATGGAGGACCTCCCCGAAATTACCAACACCCTCCTGTCCGAGCACTTAGCAAAGGCTTTGTGCGTCACGCGATTGGAGCATCTATCAGTCAGCTACTGCGGTCACTTGGGGGACGCTGGAGTCCTCCCCGTCGTGAAGAAATGCACCAATTTGAAGATGATAGACGTCAACAACACTCGAATCAGTGACCTTGTCCTTGCCGAGGCCGCGGCCATGGTGAACTCCCGCTCCCGACGAACGACCGACCCTTACGAACCCCCTAAGGCCACCTTGAACATGGTAGTGTACGACTGCGAGAACGTCACCTGGACGGGCATCCGGGAAGTTCTCTTCCGGAACTCGCAAGTCCAGTTCAACGGCGGCGATGGCGAACCGACCTTCCCCACGGAAATCATCGGCCTCAAATGCTTCTACGGCTACCAGATGACCGTCGACGAGCACGCGAAGCGGGTCCTTCGGTGTGACCTCCCGGCTGCGGGGCGCCTGGAGCGGAAGTGGGCCGACTACATGCAGGCTAGCGAGGAGGCCGGGGTCGGTGGGGCGGGTACCCGGCGACGGAGGAGGAGGGCCAGGGAGGCGCAGATGGTGCATGCCAATGAGGAGGTGGGCGGGTTTCCCCATGGTGGGCGACGGAGGGCTAGGACTGTGCCTTCTTGCGCGGTCATGTAAAGTGAAGTTTATGGATGATGATTTGGGCAGGCTATGAGTGGGCCCCAGGCGCCTAGAGATATGCTGTGCATGTAGCAGCATGATTTGAGTTTGCTGTTTGTTGCCTGTTCTTTTCATTTTTCTGCTCTATTTCTTTCTTTCTTTCTTTCCCCCTTTATCTTTCTGATTGATTCTGTCTCGTTATATTCGACATCTGGGTTCGGTTCGGAGACGGAGTCCCCGGCGCAAAGGGCATCTCGGAGGAGTTTTCTTCTTCTACACTTCATTTTACGCGGCTCTCTGCCTGACGCATCCTCTGCGAGGGCGTTGATATCTTTTTTTCATGGGTTTTTCATCGCTTCTCTCTGCTTTCCATCATCACCGTTGGCGTCAAAGGCTAGATCGCTTAGATCACACTGGAAGGGTAACGTATCCTTATCCCATCGCATTTTCCACGACGGGGACACGCAAGCGGTCTATGTATTTTTTTCCCCCAATTTCTTCTCTGTTTTTATCAAGTTTGTACGGATGGGTTTTTTTCTTTTTCTTTTTCTCTTTATATTCGGAATGGACAGGCTTGGGATTGCGCACTGGGAATCATCATGCTGGAAGATTGGGAAATATATATCGGTATAGGGATAGGGCTAGCTGGTCGGATTTTACATGATTCTATGTGCAGATTTACAAGTATGGGTCTCTTGAGTTTGGGCTTGTGTAGTATGCTATCTGAGGTATTGAGCTTTCCTCTTTCATGCGCGAGAGATATGCCCCCATCCATCACCAACTCTGGTTTTGACCAAAGAGCAAGTGGCTCGGCACTTGCAAGTCACAAAAACCACATGAGATACATTACATTTCGAGAAGGAAAGCCGGAACATAATTTTCGGCTCTAGTCCCAACTCGACTGAACCCTTTTTAGTGACCGGACAATAGGATTGATTGTCCTGAAAGGTTTGTCCTGGCGTTGATGTTTAAGGGTTGAGGGAGTGTTTCCTTGAGTTGAGCACTCGGGTTTTCTTCCTTTTTTCTTCGTTTCTTTTTGCTTTTCGAATTTCAGAAAAGGGGGGAGTTTGGACGTCCAATATATTCTCTGTGTCTCTTGGAATATGAAGCTGCGGTTGTGTTGTGATACAACCCAAGCAAACGACTTGAGGCGCAGTTAAATATTCCTGCATCCTCTGCGCCTCGCCAGCATCTTTATGCAAATCCCTAAGGTATTAGCAATTGAAGTATGAGTCCGAAGTAAGTGAGCAAATGTAGATCAAAGAGGGACTCGTCATCGCCAAGATCGGCCATGCTACTGAGGACCCTGAGCCCCCCGCTGAACGGAAACACTCTCCCGCATACGAAGTACATGAACGATAATGATAAAGAAGCATAATAAGGGGTCGATGAATGCCGGATCATCATTCAGGCTGGAAGAGACAATGGGCATAGATCAAATTGATATGTGTGGATATATGATGGGATGAAAGTTCTAAATTCTCCGATCCGACCTTGGGCAGTAATAAAAGTCAATGCATTGTGGGAGAGAACCCAAGGTGGGCTTCAGGCACCCTCGTGTAAAACTCGAAGGAAAAATCGAGAGTCTTCGTTCTTTGTTGCCTGGGTCTCGACAATGGAGTTCTCAACTTGGGGAACGCCAGCACTGCAACAGTTGAAAGTGAGATGGAGATGTGTGTACCTCGGTACCTAGCTAGAAGGTACATGGCGCTTCAAAATTGTTAGTCTGGTGCCTAGATCCACGTGATCTTAGGCTCTGACATTTGGGGACCTGAGCGCATCAGTTCGGCTTCGAGGCCCCTGACGAAACAGGACAGGGCGATTCCACAGCCCAGGCCAACCAGAGAGTCACCCGCCTTTTTGTCCAGTCCCATTTGATCGTTGTCCCTTAGCTCCGCCATCTGAACGTGAGGCAAGCCCTTTGCTCCTTCGTACAGGCTACAAGTTATCTAGGTAGTCAAGTCGACACAGACACAGGTGGGATCGCGACTGGGAATCTCTGGTCCTTCCACACACCCCGTCATTGATTCCTTCTTTCTCACATTGCGAATTTTTGCTCTTTTCTCCTTGAGTATACTAGAATGCGTCTTTTATAGAGACGTCGGTTTTCGTCGATCCTGGAACAACCCCCCCCTTTTGACCGCCTCGATGTCGTAGCACCCGAAAATCCACTCCAGAACCAGAGCTTTACCTCTTCTGAGGACACCCCACACCCAACGACCTGCGCTACCACTCGACTGCCCCGTGGCCTTGTCCCTTTCTCTATACCACGACAATCTTTCTCGAATTCCTTCCGATTTTCGATCCGCGAGACCCCGGGCTTCGTTGCCGGTCCTGGCAAGTCACACTCTCTAACGATTCCTCCCCCCCGCCCTCCTTCTGTGAGACAAAACCCCCGACTCTCTCCGGATGGCTTCGTACGGTTACCAAGCGCCCCATGCTGCCTCTGGCAGGCCAGCCCAGCACCAACATGCCGCCTACGCAGCTCCGATGCACATGGGCCCGGCGGCGCCTCCGGGAACATTTTCCCCTGGCACCAAGATCCAGGTCGGGAGCCACCGGGTTGTCATACAGAAGTACCTTTCCGAGGGCGGTTTCGCCCACGTCTACCTCGTCAAACTGCCCCATCCCATCGACGGCACCGACCTGGCCGTCCTCAAGCGAGTTGCCGTTCCCGACAAGGACACCCTCCGTGGCATGCGGACCGAAGTCGAGACCATGAAGAGGCTCAAGGGGCACCGGCCCATCGTCACATACATCGACTCGCACGCCTCCGAGATGAGGGGTGGAGGCTACGAGGTCTTCTTGCTGATGGAGTACTGCAACGGCGGGGGGCTGATTGACTTTATGAACACGCGATTGCAGCATCGGTTGACGGAGCCCGAGATCCTCAATATCTTCACGGATGTCGCCGAGGGCGTGGCGTGCATGCATTACTTGAAGCCACCGTTACTGCACCGCGATCTCAAGGTCGAGAACGTGCTGATTACGAAGTCCGGGAACAGCAAGAGGTTCAAGGTGTGCGATTTCGGTTCGGCGGCGCCGCCTAAGCCCGCTCCTACGACGGTCGTCGAATGCCGCTTGATCGAAGAGGATATCCAGAAGCATACTACCCTGCAGTACAGGAGCCCCGAGATGGTCGACGTGTACAAGAATCAGCCGATTGACGAGAAGTCGGATATATGGGCGCTCGGCGTGCTGTTGTATAAGCTGTGCTATTACACGACGCCGTTCGAGGACCAGGGGCCGCTGGCAATTATGAATGCGAGCTTCCGATTTCCTAGTTATCCCGTCTTTTCTGAGAGGTTGAAGAAGCTTATTGGTATGTTGAGAGACAAAGAGGTGACATTTTGGTCTGATGTTGAAGCTGTGTCGACTAACTGAGAGGGATATTACAGCTTCGATGCTACGCGAGAACCAGCAGTCTCGGCCCAATATCTATCAGGTTCTCCAAGAAGCATGTGCGATGCAAGGTCGCAAGGTGCCCATTAAGGACGTATGTAGTATTCTTCATACCTGCCTGGAGGCCATTACTGACATGGACTCCTATTTTCCTTTACAGATATACGCGGAGAGCGCAAAGTCGGCGACACAATCTACCTCCCACTCAGGTTCTAACGGATCTAGACCGCAATCCACGCCGGTCGTGGGTGCTACTTTCTCACCTCCGGTACAACAGCAACAGGTAATACCAGACGTCGTGCCTATGCGAAGAGGCCGGCCTCCGGCAGCAACGCCTGCGCCTCATCTCCAACAGCAGAGCCAGAAAAAGCCGGATCGATCTCCCCAAAGAGTCAATGGCGATCCGTTTGCCGCACTCGATTCGAATAAGGGAACCGGAAAAGCAGATGAGCTGTCCTCGCGCTTCCCAACTTTGGACCAATTCGACCTTTTCCACACTAAAGGCATGAAGTTCGACTTTGACTCGCCGCCGTCACCAGCTCCAGGGTCCGAAGATCTAAGGGACCGTGTCTCCGAAAAATTGGCCGATGAGGCTTTCGCTCTTCCTAGGGGTAGTCCCCCGAAGGTTGCCGATGTACCGAAGCCGGCTGCTAGCACTCCCCCCGTCGCTCAGTCTCAGCCACGACCGCCGTCCATGGTCATCAACTCGAAGAAGTCGTCCTCGGGTCCTCCTAAGCCTGCCGAGATGAGCCGCGCCCAGGCCATCATTACGAGCAACCCCAAGCTGCAGGCGATATCTACTAAGTCAAACTACGTGTCGACGGGCACCATGACCACACCTCCCCGTGAAGAGTCGGCGCACAGAAGCACGCCTCCAATATATCGATTCCCGCCCGCCGACCAGAAGCCGCCTGTGAATGTCAGTGGTATACTGGAACCTAGCTCTACTCCCCAGGGCTGGGGCAGGCTAGACGATAGGTCATCGTCTGCCACTAGACCTGCGACCGTGCAGCCGTCCGGGCACGCGCGCCATCCATCATCTTCACGGCCGTCGCTCGAAGGAAGCCGCCCTCCAGCTGATCTCCTTGATCTGTCGGAGGTGCCCCACCGTAGCACCCTCGGAGATAGGCCACGTCCGTCTAGCACACACCTCGAGTCTAACCTAGACTTCCTCCGCGAACGAGAAGCTGCCAAGTCGCAGAGCTCTCTCCACCAACGGCTACCGAGTTTGAGCAAGACGACGGCGTCTCCCGCACCTGATCTTAAGACGGATGCTAACAATGCCACCATTGAATCGAACGTCGACTTCCTCCGGAGCATGGAAAACGACGAAAAGAAGAAAGACAGGTCCTTGAAGCATGGGAAGCATCGTAGCATTACATCCATTTCTGGCAAGAACATCATTGCCGGCAAATTCGGCGACGCCTTTAAGCGATTCGAGGGCAGCAACCCACCCCAACAACAACAGCAACAACCATCACAACCACCACAACAACTCCCGCCCGCGCGGACTCCCTCTCCACTACGCAGTCCCGAGCGCACGGCACTCACTCCCATCGCCGGCTCAGAAGCGACGGACGACCTCACTGACGACGGCCGAATCCGCGACGACCTGCAAGAGGAGAACATGACACCTGAGATGCGCCGCGAAGTCGAGCGCATGCGCCTCGAGGAGGAAGAGCGGCGCGTCGAGGCCGCGGCGGCCGAGTACCGCCAGCGCGTGACGAATAAAGAAGGAGGCCAACCGGCTCCGCCTCTTCTTCCGAAATCGATCGGCGGGGTTTCGCGTGCCGTGAGCATCCAGAACCGCGTGCAGAGCCTGCTCAACGAGGAGCAGAAGTCGACGACGAATATCCCGCGCACGGCGCAGGGGTACGGGCATTATTCGGACGCGGCGGTGACGCAGAGTCAAATAAATAAGCAGCTGCCCGAACTGCCGAGGAAACCCGTAGGTTCGAAGCCCACCAGGGTTGTGCAGGCGGCGTCCTCCTCCTCGACTGGTCCTGGAGCCCTCGCCGGAGGTGGGGTGTCTATCCGCGCCGGGAAGCCTGCTCTTGGGCCGAAGCCCGTCGCGCCAAGGAAACCTACGCACTTGAATAATATCCCTACGGGGGGACGACCTCCGTCGCCTCCTAAACCGGCGATTTATCACCAGTCGCAGGTGCCGACTGGGGGGTTCGCGCCTGATATGACGCAGGGGCAGAAGGAGGATTATATTAGGGATTTTTCGAAGAGGTTTCCTAGTTTGGGGGCGCTTGAGATGGTGGAGAGGGATTTGAGTGCAGAGGCGAGGAGGGGGAAGTAGAAGAAAAGGCCGTCAGAGAGAGGGGAAAGACTCTTTTGCCCTCCTGGGTGCTATCCAGTGCTAGCTATCTAAGAAGTCCTGTAGTGGCTGTTTTTGGGGTACTATGTTTTGTCTCTTTTTACGTCTGCCCCCTTCTGGGTATATCATAGATGAGTGCATTGGTGGGTGTCTGCTTCAATGGACAGGCTAGATGATGAGATGTGATGATAGTGACTTGTGTGAATAGATGCTTGGTATACTTGGATGAGGTACTGAGAGATGAATCTGGTGTACTCTGCTTCATTGCGCTTATGCTCGTTCGCATCGTGTAGTGTAAAGGGGGCGATCTAGTGTCCGCCAACGGGGGAAGTGAAGTGTTCCCGTGAGTTGAGGTGTCTCTGGCGGCTGTTTCTTGAATCGATAAGCGATAAACGACCACTTTGCAATTGTATTCATCAGTATATTCTCCGTAATCCGATTCAGCCAACAACAATTTCGCCATCTTTTATACACCTTTTTTTCCTACTCCTCCGCATGTTGGCTCAAACATACGTCATGAAGGTAAACAATGTAGTTGAGCCAACCAACTCCAGAGCCTGCTGAACTAGTTTCCCTCTTGTCATCTCCCGTCATCTATTGGATCTGGAACGGATTGGTGGTGTGGACAGGATGAGGGGGCTTGGGTTCTGCGGTACGCATTGGGTGGTTTGCTGTTGGGTGCAGAAAGGCAGCTCCGTTGTGCATCTACAGGCATACACGAGGCGGAAAATTGACTTGGGATCAAAGGGACTTATGGAATGGGCTCTGCCCTTTGACTGGCACTTATATAGCCTCAGCCCGCTCCAGGATGATACGCCCTCGGAGTTTCTTCCAATGCTTCGACGGTGTCCACCTACTTCGACCGGGCCGACAGGAGCTTATGACTTTGCCTTTATGCCTCTTCTAGTTTTCCTTCCCGAGTTCCCCATATACCTAGGTTTCCGACATGGCCGATCCCCTTGGCGCCGCTGCGAGTGTCATTACCTTAGGGGAATTTGCCTACAAGGTGTCCAAAATCCGTGCCGAGGCCAAGGCTGCACCAGCTGAGTGGCAGAGATATCGAGATGGTTTGCTTACAGTCGCCGGTGTATGCACTGAGGATGTAATGCTTTGGTGCAATCATGTATACTAACCAAACGGTGAAGATTCAAGCTTGCCTTAAGAGTATCATTGACAAGTCACCGCAGGTTCGCAAGCTTACCATCGAGGTTAACGGGAAACGCCATGCGCTTGTGAACTACGTCAATGATTGTCTCTCTGGCATCAGAGACGATGCGTCTATTTTGTTAGACAGATTCGAGCAACTGAACGATGAGGAGCCAAAGCCCAGCCCCAAGAAGCGACTTACACGTAGAGTGCTTTCATACCGCTTTGTTTTCAAAAAACCCGACATTTCTCGCCTCATACAGACTGTGGAAAGTGCTCAGTCGTATCTTCAATCATCGATTGTCCTTGCACATTTGTACAGCTCAGACGCATGGTAAGATTGTCTGTTTCCCCTTGCATGTATGGCAAACCTACGCTTCATCCTAGTTGACACCATTGCACTGATAGGCAACAATCTGTCGGAGAAGTCCTAGACTCTATAAAGAAGGACCTGGCGAGTCAGGGGGAAGGCCTTAGGAAACTTCATGAGGAGAGTAATCTCCGACACGCGAGCATCGAAACTCGTCTTGAATTTTTTGCTCAACTCCCCGACCTGAAGCCTAAATTGCCAAAATTGAGCATCATGTCACGAAAGCATCACAAGAAAGATTCTCCCCGTGCTGGGAGACACAAGGGCAAGAATCCGGTGACGGCAGTACATGCGAGCCTCTCTACAGCTGGCCCACTTCCAAGCGAGGCTGGGATTTACAACGGTACTGAACCAACCACCCTCGGCTCTTCCTTACTCGTGGATTCCATACAGCAAGAAATAAGCGACAATGACATGGATGATGCTTGCGATGACAGCTCCAGCGAAGATGAGCCCGTATCGCAGCCGACGGTCAACCTAGGGGCCGGGCAAGAACGTGCCGGTGGTTCACGAGAATGCTCCTATGACCATGTCATCCGTGACGGGAAGCTATTCCAAGTCCCATCGGACACTGAGGGGAACCGGCCTGAGCGGCATGTCGCGGATGTCGTGGAGTCGATGTCCGACAAAGAATGGAACAACGTCAGGGATGCTGAGCCGGAAGAGCTGGAACACTATATAACATCAGCTCCCTGCACTGCTTGTCCTTCGGATGTTGAAGTCGTGGACTATGAGGGTCCGATCGGGATCGAGACATATCTTCAACACACGCTTGTCGAAAATCCGCATGCACCTGTTAGGAGCGCTTCCGAAATAAATCTAAGCTGTTCATTTGTGGAAGATGAAGGAGACTTGTCTGCGTCTGGAGCTGAAACCGAAAGGCCGGAGGTCGATGCCGAGAATGCTAGCGTTGGTAATAGCGACAATGAAGAAGAAGCAGAAGAAGCAGAAGAAGCAGAAGAAGCGGAAGAAGCAGAAGAAGCAGAAGAAGCAGAAGAAGCAGAAGAAGCAGGAGAAGCAGGAGAAGCAGGAGAAGCAGGAGAAGCGGAAGAAGGGGAAGAAGGGGAAGAAGGGGAAGAAGGGGAATTCATAAATGGCCCCGGATTTCGTATCAAACGAGCACCATCTGACGACCCACAGGTCTTTGCCCTATTGAAAGCTGTCATGCAGGGCGATTCCTCTGAGGTCCCGAGGACGGTGGATTGGGATACCCTTCTCGAATATTTGCATCTAGTGGAAAAGCATAAGCAGGAACTCGGCGATCAGCCCTTGGGGCAGGCCGAGCTTTGGACCCGTGCACTTCTATCTCAGGTTCCAGAAGAATTTAATGAAGACGCCATCGAGTGGCTCTGGGTCTTCTGGAAGTTGAGAATGGGTCCAGAATTCAAGAAACTATCTGCGATGGTTCAACAGCAGGCACGACAAAGTATTGGCCAGATGCAACTTGGTTCTCGCGCCAACCCGCTACCCACAGAGATCATCGGTATGAGCTGTTAACGACTTCTTCGATTCAGGGGGAAAGAATGCTAACACTCAGCAGCTCTACTAGATGACAGGAGGATGCTGGCGCTATACCAAGTTAAAAACAGGATATTGCGGGAAACTGAGTGGCAGAGGAAACAGTACTTGAAGACCTTTGACGAAAGTCTCATACAACCAATGTTTGCTCCGCTTTCAGCCCTGCGGTCTTCACTATCTTTTGGCTACCTCACTCTTGAGAGTAACAGATGGTTCAACTACAGGCCTGCGGACGGAGACGTTGCAGAATTTGAGGGTGTGAGCTTTTCAGATGTCTGCAGCGAGGTTCAGTCGATGATAGACCTAGGCAGCTGGATGATCAGGTCAAAGCCGACAGCTGAATATATGCCTAAACCAGTAGCCATGCTGTCGGCGCTCATTCCAGTGGTGGGTGTTCGCCTGCACACAGACGGTTTTTATGGGGAGTTTCCCTCGGCTTTCCACGAGGAGCTTCTCGCTCTCATCGCGACCATGAAAAGGGCGGACTGGGGAATCGACTTGTCAGCTGTCGAGTGACCCCGGAACAACGGCACTGGTAAGCTGCCCCAGTGATGGGCCCTTCGATTCTCCGGATTATCACTATGATGACCGCCCCGCAGACAAACAGGCTCACGGCAGGCACAAGATCTATGCAACTAGGTACGGTCGAAGAATTGGTTGCCTGGGGATCGCCAACATGCTAACACTCGTCCACTTGCATCTAGGATCTACTTATTCACCCGGGAAGGTATCTTTTGATCGACAGACTTTACTATAGGACGCAGACTACTTTCGGCCTCACTTGGCTAGGATATTGGTAACGCTGTCGAGGAATTTGGTTTCTCAGGCCGTCCTGCTTCAGAGCAATCCTTGTTCAACGTCACGGTGAGCGGGAGCACAGGCAGCTCTAAGAGATCGTCGTGTTGGTTCTCCAGACCACTGCTACCTACCTGTTAAGGTGCTCTCCTCTCGTGTCAGTTTTAAGAAAGGGAAAAAAAAAAAAAAAAGTTAGAAAAGGAATTAAAAAAAATAATAAGAATAAAGGGGCCCTAGCCATTACAGTCGCGCCTCCCGTCTGGACCACTGGGACAAGTCCCAGATGGGGATCTCCATTAGCCGGGATATTTCTTTACCAGATCCCTGGTGACCGAGCTTCCTAGTCTTCCCGAAAAGAACTTGGGACACGACCGGGATCGAACCCAAGCCCTCCGCAGGGAAGCTTCGGATGCTGTCACCAACCGACTGCGTCAGCCAGCTGGTTTCGGTGACATCTCGCTGGCTTGTTTTTGTATACATAGTATAGTATGGGGAAAATTTTGGGATTGGGGTAGGGAAGGAGCCAGTCGCTTTGTAGGGAGGCGGATTGAGGAAGGGGCGAGGGGAAGTGTGAGACGACTTTTCAAGGGAAAACAAGATATCTACTCTTGTATAACATCCATGAATCTCATAGTTGCGCTTGGTATATATACTAGGAGATTTCAGCAATAGAGAGAGCAATGCCCTGCTTGTGCTTGTATAGGCTGGTGTCTCACAACTCATCTTTCTCGTCTGGTACCTCCCAAGTAATTGGATACAAACTTTCAGAGGGCTGACAGCACGCAGCCTCAGTCGCCTCGCAGCGGTACGACCCAGCCTCAACCTTCAGCCTTGACCAGAGAGCCGCCCCCGTAGCAGGGGCCAAGACGGGGTCCCCCGGAATCACGAGCTCGGCGCCAGTACCGAGTGGGCTTCTTTGTGATAGCCGATTAAACATGACCTTTGGCAAACCCTCTGACATGGCTTTCACAATGGATAGAAATTCTGGATGGTTGGCGGCCTCCCCGGCTACGACGACAAGGGACTTGGCCCCGGACGGCCACCCAAAGTGTTGCAGGTCCTTGGCTCGGGTGTACAGACGCTCCCGGAGAGCAGCCCAGAATTTCTCGGGAGGCATGTCCTGTAGTCGGTCCAGGCCTAGATGGTTGTCTATAACCCCAGCGCGCTCAAGTGGCTGTTTGTAGAAGCATGGTTCTTGCGTAAAGGTTGTATAGAGCGACCTATTAGTGAAGCTGTATTGACAGGCAGCATGACCAACAGAGATGGTTAGGATTGACTCATGAGGTGTAGCGGATGGTGACTAGAAACGAGTAGGTAGTCTCTCACCTGATGTAGTAGGCTCGCTCGGGAGTGCCATCGTACTCTTCAAGCCTGAAACACTCGAACGGCTGGCATAACCAACGTCCACAGGCAGCAAGTGCCGTCCTCGCTTCACCAAGGTACACGGGGTCCATCGTGTAAGGGAACCACGGCTTCAGGCCACTTCGCAAAAGAGCGTCATTGATATCAGAGTCCCAAGAGCTTTGATCCCGCCAGAAATCCTGGTAAGGTGCCGTAATGGAAACCTCGTACCCGTCTAGGCTTTTTCCTAGCGTCTCTTCAGATGTGCTCTTCAGCTCCTCGATAAGCTCCGCGAGGATTTTCATGTCCCTAGGAGGAGGTGATAAGCCGAGCGCGTACTTCACTGCCCAAATGAGAATTGCGCCGAGGCCGTAAGGCGGCCTACCGCCCGGAGGCCGCGATGTTACCATGAGCCGCTCCATCAATTCAGCGTAATTACGGCTTCCAGGGACTTTGGCCAAGCTAACGGCAGTCCCGTTATCGAGGAGATTAACAGACACCCTAGCCATAATTAGAATATAAACAGAAAAGTCCAACATAAAGAAATACAGGAAAGTTTAGCCGGATACTGTTGGGCAAAACCAGCACCAGACGGCGCTTAGGCCTTCACAGGACTCACCCATATGACTGGCCCAAGTGAAAGCCGATGGCAAGCTCTTCGCGATCGGAACTTGGCACACAGGAATGGCAGGTTTCTGGGCGCTGGAGCTGGCAGGTGGCTAACTGGGCCCACAGAAGGCCGCACATCAGGAGCACTAGGAGGACCCAGATACCCTTGATTCTAGTCATTTTCATCATTGATGCTGTAGTGGAAATTGTGGTCATCGCTGGTTTGGAAAACAGTGATACGGAAACGATGGATTGAAAGCTGCGAGGTTGAAGTTTGTGAATGTCATGCGAATTGGGTTGGCAACAGATGAATGACGTCCCTCTATTGTAAGTTCCCTCGCTCCCCGCCAGCGTGTTCAAGTTTCAGGCAGCATCCAAATTGTCGATATATCTAGCAGACATCATCCTCTTGCTAGACAGCCGAAAAGAGCACACGTATTCCACCCAGAGGCTGGGCCGATATATAGCACACCAACACGGTGTCGCGTCCTTCATGTTAAATCCCCTCCATGCTGGTTTTATCTACCAACCTCGCCATACCAGTAAAACCTTCCAATATCGTCGACTAAATACTTAGTATCATTAGATAAGCTACTGAGAGATAAATCCAAGGTACTTTCATTATTGCGCTCATCCTCTTTAGCATCACACAGTACAAGGCCCAGGTGAACGATCTGTCCTCAAGTTTCTGTTTGAGTTGAGGTTGAGATGAGGTGCTTCTTGATGGAGGGGCGGCTGCTTATCGATAAGCGATAATCGATAAGCAACCAGCAATAATTTTTTTTTTCTCTTTTTCTCCTTCCCGCCTATCTCCCACCACAGCAATTCCTGCAATCATTCTTGATACCCCAAATTCTTCACCCATAACTTTTGTTTAAACCTACAAAATCGACCATGGCGAAAAGGAAAAGGAACGAGGCCGCCAACGGCGAGCCCGAAACAAAACCAATCTCGACAAAGAAGCCCCGAGCCTCAGACTCTTCAACCACTTCCAAGGATGTCGCAGTTGCCTCCGGCCCAGCAAACCCCTTCACGATCCAAATCATCGCAGGATCCTACGACCGAATCCTCCACGGCCTAACGGCTCTGATCAACCCCACCGACGACTCAATCTCCTTCGCCGATACGTTCCTCTTCAACGCCCACACCACAGCGATCCGGTGCCTCGCCATCTCCGCCCCCTCCGCGCCGCAACCAGACCAAAGCCAAAAAGTCTTCCTCGTATCAGGCAGCACGGACGAAAAGATCAATGTATACAGCCTCTCAGCGCACCCACCTAGCCGCAAGAATCAAGACCTTCTCGCCAAGGTGGCGCCGCGCCCGATTCTCGAGAACCGCAAGAACCGCGAGATAGGCACGCTGCACCACCACGCGTCGACGATAACGAGCCTAGCGTTCCCGACGAGGGGCAAGTTACTCTCCGCGAGCGAGGATTCGACGATTGCGGTTACGAGGACGAGGGATTGGTCCCTGCTCTCGTCGATCAAGGTGCCGGTTGCCAAGGCGAAGGGGAGGCCTAGTGGAGATACGGCGCCGTATCAGGGGACGCCGAGCGGGGTGAATGATTTCGCGGTGCATCCGAGTTTGAAGACGATGATTAGCGTTAGTAAGGGGGAGAGGTGTATGAGGTTATGGAATTTGGTGACGGGGAAGAAGGCGGGCGTGTTGAATTTTGGAAAGGAGCTATTGATGGACGTTGGGGAGGGGAAGCATTCGGCTGGAGAGGGGAGGAAGGTCCGTTGGGGGCAGGGGGAAGAAGGGGAGGAGGAGTTTGCTGTGGCGTTTGATAGGGGTGTTGTTGTTTTTGGGACGGATGCCGTTCCGAGGTGCAAGGTTTTGGGGGATGTGAGGTCGAAAGTTCATGAGATTGCGTATGTCCCGCTCGGCGAGGGGAAGGGGTCGCTTTTGGCTGTTTCTACGGAGGATGGGAGGGTTGCCTTCTTTTCGACGAGGAAGGCGGATCTTGTTGAGCCTGAGCAGAAGAAAAAGAAGGATGATGATGACGATGACGAGGACGACGATGATGATGGAAAGCTACCCTCGGCGAAGCTTGTTGCGAGCGTCGGTGGTAAGGAGGACGGCGTCACGGCCCGTATTAAGGACTTTACGGTGCTTAGGCGGGGATCCGGCGAGGGAGAGACGCTCTATGTCATTGGGGGTAGCAGCGATGGCAAGATTCGGGCCTGGAAGCTGGGCGCGTCGAAGCTGAGGGAGGCGGCAGATGGGAAGGGCGAGGGGAAGGAGATTGGGAAGTTGTTGGGAGTGTATGGGACTCAGAATCGGATTACGTGCTTGGAGGCGTTTGAGATGATTCCTAGGCCCGACGGGGTTGAAGATAGTGAGGATGAGGACGAGGAGGGTGATTGGGAGGATGAGGATAGTGAGGGTGATGATGACGACGAGGGAGATGAGGATGAAGAATAGGTGGCCCTGCGTCTATATTTATGATAGGAGTACGGTCCATCGTCTATTGCATCTACAAATGCCATTAATATAGGCATCTTCCTTTCTACAACTGGAAAAACCTAGACTACTGCCTTTGTCAGTGAGCTGAGAACCTCCTCAACGCATTCCTCCCTTGACCTCGATTACCCTCTCAGCCGGCCCATTACGCCAATCATGACTTTCACTTAAAAGCGCCAGGTGTTCATCATACTGAACCTTGCGGGAGTCGCTTCTCAATACAACAAAAGCAGCTTCCCCCACGGCTCGAGGGCCACGTCTCTCTCCACCAAGGGCCGAAGGTCTATGTGAGAGGCTGGATCCTCTCTGTCGAGCTCAAGTATATCTGGTAGGAGTGGGTATTTTCTCTAAAGCCCGATCTAAGAGGTCGCGGCGTAGGGTCGGCGCCGCATCTGTTCGGGCTATAGCGAGCCGGACGAGCTTATTGTGCAGGTCTGGGCAGCGGTCGGGGTCGAAATGACTTCATGGATCCTCGGACCCTTCCGAGCTCGAGTCGCTCATTTCGGGAAAGGACGTGTACTACGCTGTTCCGCTGGCCATGGGTTTCGCTGTACATTCAAGTCGGTGCCCAACAAGCTAGACGAGCCCTCGAGGTTCATGTGATTGAAACCATTGTGAATATCGGTCAATTTTATAGAAGAGGATATCATCGACCCCCAATATGTGCCCTCATAGTCGTCTCTTCTCAAAAGGGGGGGGGGAAGGATGGTGGGACCTCAAGCCTCATCTTATGTGGAGGAATTCCGGCTCAGGTGCTACCCTCTCTGACTTGAGCTGAAGAGCATTGATGTTAGTTTTTCAATAAAAATTCTGGTCTCGAGGCTCGAATAGATCAACGGCTGTCCCGAGTTTGAGCTCCAAATCGTTTCTGAGAACATCAGACGAAATGCGATTCAAGGCCCTAGTCACGGTTCAAGGATTTGAGACCCGAATCCACCAATTCATCAAACTTCAAAAGCCCAGCCAGCCTCCTCCCGTCGATCCTTGTGAATCGAGTGCGCTAGGCTCTAGTAGCGACGGCTGGGTTCTCCTCAAAGAAGCGGGGAAAACCCACTGGAATAATTGTGTTTGTGCTTGGTCAGTGCAGTCAAACATGTGGGATTTTAGCCCCAGTACGAAGTACTTCGGACTTCATCCTCCATGGTTCAATCCCGTGAGTTGATCACATGCATTTTCTCTCGCATAGGGATTGAGTTGAGTTGTGAGGTCTTCCTGCCTCAGACTTGGGAACTGGGAAGGAAGAAGGGGAAAGTTAGCATAGACCATAGTTCTTCGTACCTGTAACATCTTGAGGAATACGACAGCTAGTTATGTTGTGCTTGTGGTGGTTAATACCACGAAATGAATTTGTTGAGACACGACACAACAACATATTCTGGTGTAGTGTAGTATTGTGAGGTGGGCAATGAGGGCTGGGTGGCATTTCAAATTGTTCGAGTTGGACTGGACAGACGAAGTACTTCGTAGGAAGTATAATACGCGGACTGACCCATTGTGTCCAGGAAGGAGCACACTACTGTAGCACTGTGGCAGCATTCATCGTTTACTTCGGGCTTCGTGCATTGTCCTTGGACGATCCAAGTCCGATGTGCGATCTATGGAGGAGTTAAGATTATAATGTCTTGCACGAGGACACACAGTCACACACATTGGCACGTGGACGGATCTGTTTTTCGGCTTTGCATTTCGGATTTGCACTCGCCCAAGTGGACAGGCCTGCAGCAGGGGTTGTTCACCGACCCAAGGTTCAAGGTGCCTGGGACCTGGGAGGACAGGATAGTCAGACGCATTACCGTACTAGGAATCGGCTGGTGTTTGTTCCCCGCCGCCCGCCATTTGCCGCCATCGTCGGGTCTCTTACGACCGCCGACCCATGCTCATCAAATGCCGTCTCGGGCTCTCACCATCCCGACAGTCCTGTCTTGCCGTCTAGCCCTGACTCCCACACCTCGCTGACGTCAATTGGGCAGAGGAAGGAACTGCGAAGACGGATCCGCTAGCGGTGTGTAATCCTATACCAGGGTTTGAAATGTTATTTTGAGACCACATGACCTATCTCCTGACAGGTACTAAATAAGTATTTTTAAATATAAATTATTAGAGGATATACCTTTTTAAAACTTGATCTAAGATATACCCGGTGGCGGCGAGCATCTCTCGATTTAACATTTCAAACCCTGGTATAGGATTAGTTTAGTTTTACGAGCAACAGACTAGGCTCGCCCCTCTTCTCGATGCAGGTTTACATTCACGGTTGGCCTCATTGATCGATCTTCCCCTCACCTCCCGTCCCACTCTGACTCCTCAACTCGGACCTCATCGAGTCCTGCTGCCTGCACCTTATTTTCATATGCCATAGCAATTGTAGCCGTTTGGAGATGATCAAGCTTCGCTCTCACCGTATCCATTGTGTAATTCGTTTCTAGCATCAAGACCAATACTTCTCTCACCAACCACCCTCCGTCTCAGTTGTTGTTTTTTGCATACCATTTTTTTTTTCGAAACATAATTCTCCCCGTTCCGCTCTGTTGTTCCACAGTCGAGGTCCGGGTCATCTTGTCCTCCCCACCCTCATACTTAAAGTACGCTCCTCCACCACCATCCTCACGCAAACACACGGGCACACACACTCCTACTTCGTACGCACATCAGCATCTCGCTTCCGGATCCTCCGCCATCCATTCGTCGCGACGACCACAATCATCCATACCGAAAGAAGCCACGCCGTGGCGCCCAGGTTGTCTCACTTCTCCACACTTAGCGCCAATCTCCGAAGAGGCACAGAACTGCAACCTCTTTCCATCATCAGATTCCTTCCTTTTTTTGTTGCAGTCATTTTGGTTTTAGGGGGTGTGCTCCGAGGAGGGGGAAATCTACTTCGAACGTGAATATAAACTGCATACACCCCTGTTCTGTTCGAGACTCTGCGTCGGGCTTTTGATCGCTTTTTACCACGCCCCCTGGTCCGTTTGGTTGCAGGCCCGTCTCCGCCTGACTGTTACAGTGGTGTAATACTACTCCACTAATCTACTTCACCCAATCTCTCCGTCAGCCACTGACGAGACGCGGTGGCGATTGGTGTGTGGGGAGCTTGAGACAGCTGCTTACACGCTAAACTACGAAGTATATTATCCGCATCCACGCCCCGGACACTCAGCTCAACATAAATACTCTTCGCTTTCAACTTTACCAGCTTTCCACTCTCATAACCAGAGGAAAACAGAGAGAACGAAACAAGACCTACAAGCGAGGCAACTGATCTTCAATTTCACCACAACATACATTACGAACCAATCTCTCAATTCGCAATGGCGCAAGAGGGCCCTCCTCTCATACGCCCAATCCCTCGACGCCCATTTGGCGTCAATCTCTCGAGCCCTACTCCTCCCGAATCCGAGGCGAACTCGAACCCCACGAGCCCGACGCCCGACCTCAATGCCCAGTTCTTGAATCCTCCCCTCTCCGAAGGCGGCACCTTGAGCCGCTCGCAGTCCATCATGAACCTTACCTCCTCGACGCTCTTTGGCATTTTCGGTCCCATGACACCCGGCAGGGATAAATTCTACGAGGACCGCGACGAACCCGAGACCCCCTGGGGAACGGGCGCACAAACACCAGTAAAGAGGAGAGATCTCGACGACGACACGTATGAGCTCCTGCTCGACCGTTCCCGAGCGCTCCGCCGCCACTCGTTCGCCCGACCCCCGCGGGCGCCATCCCCGACTCATACCGAGCTTGCGTGGTCGCTGAGCATGCGGATCGGTCTGCTCTTCCTCCTCGGAATGGGCTACGGCGCGTTGGTTACGAGGCTACGCGGCGAAGTCGAGGGGATAGCTGCAGCGGAACCGCAACATGGTTGGACATACCTCGTCGGGTGGGGGATTTCGGGCGTTGCCCTCGGAGCGCTTTTGCCGTGGTTCGATGGAGTTTGGCAGGTGGCTTTTGGGAACGAGCAGGACTCTACAGTTGTAGAGGAGAAGACTGCGGGTAGAGCGGCCTCTGAGTCGAGGTCCCGGACGGATTGGTCGCATGCCGTTCGCAGTATCGGTGCATTTGTTGGCATCATCTTTGCTCTAGTATGTTGCCCCCTCTCCGATCTGACTTTTACGACTCCTACTATGAAGACTCGTGGCAGCTACTTACACGGTTTGTTTTTCCAGCGAAAACTACCCTGGGTCTCGACCCTCCAAGTCTCCCTCGCCCTCACCCTCGTGAACCCCTTTCTATGGTACCTCGTCGACCGAACGAAGCCCGGGTTCATACTCTCGGCCGCCGTCGGAGTAGCCGGCAGTGCCATCCTCATCGGCATCAACCCGGACATGATGCCCGCGCCGTCGTCTCCGTTTTACCACCCGGGCGAGGCGTCGGCAAACGTATCCGCCGACCCCCTGGCTGCGGCTTCACAGCCGGGCATTTTCGGGTCGCAGCAGACGCTTGAGACGGGCATCTGGATGCTCAGCGTACTGTTTTGTAGTTGTGTTTGTTTTGGGAATATTGGGAGGAGGTTAGCGCTGAATAAGTCGGCGGCCGTGGCTGGCTGATGCTGTAACGCGCCAACTGGAAGGAAACTTTTGGTCTTGTGAAGGAATATGGGAGCGCTTTCTTTTTTCTAACAATGTGTATGGCTTTTTTGCCTTTGTCTGTCGATAAGCGCTAAATATATTTACTGTTCTTGCTTTTTTTTTCCTTCGACTTATTCGCTTTTGACTTGTCTGCGTACTACGAAGGAAATGTGGAATTGATATCGAGCGTTCAGGACAACACTTGAGGTCTCCAGAGGTGAGCGACGCGACTGCAAGCATTTAACTTGGGATTGCCCGGGTGACTTTCGCCGTGTTTCGATCAATCTGACGCCCTCCGACCAGCAAATAGGGGCATCTCGTAGTGTAGGCAAACACTTCTTCATCGACTTGTCTCCATAAAACCGTTGTTTCAAACCGGGGTCTCCTCAGCCATGCCAATGTGTGTGGGTGGATGTTGGCGAGGTGTTTCCGTGTGTAAGCCAGGCTGGGCAGGAGACCGTCCTGCATCAACTCCTTGAGTTATCTCCCTGGTCCAAGCTTCCGTCTTATCTTGCAGTAAATCCTCAAGAGTCATCCCGCAAAGCTCTCTGAATAGCTCGGATGCTTCCCTACCATCGTGATCGAGCGCCGTGCGATCAATGCCTCTCTCAATCATCAAGCTTGCCGCAGCCCTTACCGTGGCCATGTGCGAACGGCGATGAGGGAGATGGTGAAGAGCAGTCATTCCTTTCCTATCCGATGCATTGACGTCGCATCCAGAATCCAGGAGCAGCTGAAGAACTTCCATTCTCGGGGTGACGGGCCCAGGTTCAGGAGAGGAGACAAACTCTAAGTGTCTAGAGAAGGTAATCAGCGGGGTCTCGCCCCAGACATTTCTAGCCTCGATATCTGCGCCGGCATCTAGAAGTAGCCTCATTAATTCTGGGAAACGGAAAGCCCCAATTTGGTGTACTAATAGAGGCGTAATTAGCACCTATCGTGCGAGTATCTTGATGCTGATGTAGTTGAAATACTCACACACGCTATCTCCTGCAATCTTACCCACACTTGGTTGTGAATCGATCGCACGACAGCGCATGTCGGCCCCTCGGTCGAGCAAAAGCTTTACAGCAGACAATGCCCCGGGTCGCGTGCTCGAACAAGCCATGAGTAGAGCCGTTTCTCCGGAAGCACCGACCCCGTTGATGTTGATGCCTTGCTCGAGAAAGCACTCGATAATGCGCAGATTTGCTTGCAGAGCGGCATCACACAAGGCAGTATAAATCCCTTGGACGTTGAGGTCAGTCTCCCTAGAGAGGAGGATGCGGGCCATGTCCTCGCACGGTTCTTCTTTGGAGAAGAATGCAAGATGCTGTAGTGCCTCGTGACCCTCGTCCTCCAAGCCCACTTCGTCCAGCAGGTATTGCAGAGTTCGGACGCTTCGATTCCAACTGACTGCGTCCCGCAGCAGCTCATTGTTCGTCTCGGCGCCGCGATCAATAAGCATCTTGACCATGTCCGGGCTATCTGCGCGTACAGCATATTGAATCTTTAGAGAAGAGTATTAGAACCAAGTTCCCTGATCCATTAAATACATATACAGAATCTTTGTCGTGAGACATACTAGATTCCCGTCTCCGTAATGCGATTTTGGAGTGTTGATATCTATGCCGCGGTCGAGAAGTAGATTTACGATATCGAAGTGTTTCTGCTCAATATTTGAGCGTGGCAGATGCGCATTTCTCAAGACGAGAAAGGTCGCAGGGCCTTCGTCACCTTCTATGTTGAATGTCCTGCTAATATCGGCTCCTGAATCAAGGAGCAGACGAACGGCCTCGTAGTTGGCCATCCAAGCTGCTACGTGGAGGGGTGTGAGCCCGTCTAACGGAATGTCCACTTCAGGATCAGCGCCGTGAGCAAGAAGGAAACGCATGGTTTCAATATGTCCATGTTCCGTAGCGGCATGCAGCGCCGTCTTATCGTTCGGAAAGTTCCCGTGCCGAGCGTCAAGGTCGATGGTCGGGTCGAGGAGGGTTTTCAAAGTCTCCAAATCGCCATTGACGGCGGCATCAAAGAAGGCGCGAGCCTTTGAGTTGCCCTCGCAGCAATCGCTGTGTTTGGGTACTTCCATGATCATGGGCGGGCGGCGGTTCGCGGCGAGTGTTTGTAGGTCAACGATGTCTAAGTTAACGAGAGTAACTATTCGTGGAGTCAATACCGGGTATTATTACGTGCGGCAAAGACTGTAATACCCATAACTTCTTCTTCCTCGGGGGTGCCACGTCTCTCATCGCCTTTCCTTCTAATATCTCTGTGCGGCTCAGAACTTGAATTAGGGTGAGGAAGAATCGCTACAGGCGGCGGCGGCCCGCCCTAGGCAGCCTGTTTCTTGGGAATCATTTTAAGAAACTCAGAGATAAAAATATCAGATTTATTATGTTGACATCTCTGGGGCCTGGCTATGTGCTCACACACACAGCCCCCGCATGTATATCCATGTCCTTGGTAAATCGCACGACCTAAGCGAACCAACAACATTTCCGAAACGGTAGCCTGGCTGTGCCGCAGCGGCCCCAAACGCTGAAATCCTGAGGCAAATGAGGGGGGTGAGCAAAGTCTAGGTCATATAAGCACATCGAATGTGCCCAGGCAAACTGACAACTCTCTCTCTCTCTCTCTCTCTCCCCCCCCCTTCGTGGAATCTAGGCTTGAAATCGACTACTGATACACGAATATCCTCGATGATATTAACCCGCGATATGTTTCTGTCTATCACATTGGCATTACTTCTTTTAGGGAATGTTCGGGGAACGGCATTCAGGCCACCGGTGAACTCGGAACAGGCAAGATTGAGCTCCGCGTAATAATTAAACCTTGAGGTTTGTTTCCTCGGTTTCGTCAAGCTTCATGTTCTTACACCAAGGCAGAATATCTGGGTACAACAAACGGGCGCTGGCCAACATGTTCTTCAAGGTGATGACCTCTCACCAGGCTTTGGGCGGCCTAGACACGCCAAGCTCCCGTTGAGGGTGAGAAGTGTGTTTCTGTCTATACAGCTCGCGCCATCCAGGAGAGGCGAGTAACTAATCGCACTCTCGACCTTGCTCCTCAGCAACCGCTCAAGTTTGACCTCGCCTACGCTGTTGACATAGGAATCGGTACTCCTCCGAAACGATTCAGGATGAAGGTCGACATCTCGTCCCCAGACACCTACGTAGATGATGTCGCTCAGTCTGAAAAGACCACCTGTGCTGGCCACAGCTTCTACGACGGACAGGATTCATCTACATTCCATACCAACGGAACCCATCTGGAGGTTGAAATAGAACCACGGCTCAATGTGTCAGGCATTGCTGCCAAGGACGTTTTCCATCTCGGCCCTTTTAGGATTTCAGATTAGGCCTTTATCGACGCAGAGTACGCTAGGCGAGAGGGAATAACCCGAGATAGTGAATGTGAGATTGAGGGCACTGTAGGGTTCGCTCCGTCAAACATTGCGTCTGCTATAGTTGACTCTGCGTCTCCCTTCCTCTCGTTGACCGATGGAGGCAACCTCGATGCGAGTTTGTTTGCACTCCGCCTTCGAGAGCCGTATGAATTGGATATTGGTTGTGTCAACGAGGAGCTTTTCCAAGGCGACCTTGTTTGTGTCCCTTTACGCGACGACACCGTTACCATCCATGGCACGAACAAATGGCGGACGACGGCTGATAACCTCTTTGTCGGCTCTGACCCAGCGCTACATTACGTGCTTAATGGACTGACGGTTTCCTTCTGGACTAATAGCGCCTACATCCCGACATGCTCGTCTACGATTTGATCGACAGCCTTGGGTTCGAAGAGATGTTTATGTTGCCGCCATCCGTGAACTGCGACCAGCGGCCCTACATGCCAGATATTACATTTAATTTGGAGGGCAAGAACTTCACCCTGACACCATACGACTACACTCTCGATTGGAATATCCCGCGTGGACCTAGGCGTTGCGTGACGGCTATCTTGCCTATTGGCATGCCGGAAATGGACCATGGTGAGATTATCCTTGGCTCCGCGTTTTTAAGAGCGTTTTACGCTGTTTTTGACTTGGACTCTCGAACGATTGGATGTGAGTTGTGCTGCCAAATCCTCGCTGCGGGGGTAGGGACTGATGTACTAACGTGAGCTTTTCTCGTAGTCGCAAAACTTGCACAGTAGTTGGAAGAGGAGATGGATGGTGGTGGTGGATGGTAACAGGGAACGGACATTGCATGGCAAGTCAAGGCAACCTATCATCATGTGTTTCCACCTTGCGATCTTGACACTCTACCTCTTATCACTCATGTAATTTATTGTATGCAAAAAGCTAAAGTTCCATTTGAGCCACTCTCGGATACCATACTGAGAGTCCTACATATTATTCACATCCAGTCCAAGGAGAGAGGCTACCTAGGTTATAATCATACTACCCAGTAATTGTTTTTAGCAATATACTCTACTACTACATTCAAGAAGTCCTGCAAGGTGCCTGATTAGCGTAGTTGGTAGGTGCCATTTCTAGTGAGGATGCCCCAAACTCACAAGCCAGTATGCAGGTCGACCCCACTTATACCACTGTCCATCCAGACATATATAAGTAAAAAAACCAAGGCAGTGGCGTCCAGGTTTTGCTCCACGCCAAGGTGAGGCGGGTGGGAACTAGGCGGTTCCCCAACGGCGGTGGTCCAGTGCGGATTGCGGTTTGGGAGAGGGGGATATGCACGACTTGCAGTTGTCCGGTTTGCGGCGGGAGGCAATGCGTCACTTGGATACGCTGAATATTGAGAGGGATTTATTTCCTTATTTTTAAGGGTTCCGAATTCGAATTTGTCTCTTGAGGAGAATGAATGTAGTGAACAGCGTTGATGGCGGATGAGGCGAAACAGTGAATCGATCAAGGAATTCGACGTTCCATCGGCCAACGGCCTAAAAAGCTAGACGCCCCAAGAACCTGGAATTGTACGAAGTATTAGTGCACTTCACATAAACCGTCGTCGAGTGAGAAAGGAGAAGTACCTCGTGCACACTGCTTCTCTTGACCAGGGGCGCCTTGGCAGCACTGTCTCTTTAGTGAAGGGTCTCGTCCTGTGCCTTGATCGGGATGCACTAGTGTACATCAATACGTACAGATGCTGCAAGTAGTACATAATTGATCAACATCGATTGACTTATTGAGGAAACGCCATCCTTACAGCCGCCAAACAGAAAAAGGAAAGGGACATGGAAACTTGGAAGGGGAAAAGTCTTGGAAGAATCGATCAATTGATGTGTCCCTCGCCTTCTTTACCAAGAGAGAGTGCGTGTCCGAGGCGGTGACAGTTCTCGTACCTTTTCCGCCCCATCATTGATACCCTTGTTTTCCCTGCCTGAACCTTCTTCTTCCGTTCCCTGTCTGTCGTCTCGACCCAACTCAACGTATCTCCCTACGCCCTTGAAACACCTCGACTTCGTACTTCTACACCATCTATTCTCATCAATTCCTATTGCCGGTTTCTCATTTTCTTGCTGGACAAGAAAGCCCTCGACGACCAACCTCAATTTAGAGACGCATCATGAGCCTTGCGTCACTCCCCGCCTATTCTTGATCCTAGAAACGCGACTCCCCTGGAATCTCTCCCAATGTCTTTCGATACTACCCAGCCCTACATGTCTTCTCCTCCGAACCTGAGCACTCCGTCATTGTCAGACGGCTCTAGCTTATCCGCCTCTTTCTCATCTGCATCCATAACATCTCCTGGCTCCTCCGCCTGCTCAATCTCTCTCTACGACGACGAGGCCTCCTACTCCAAAGCGGCGTCATTGACCCCCTACGAACTTATCCGACTCTGCCAGTGCCCCATTTGCTCTCTCCCGCTACGCGACCCGCTCTCCCTACCATGTGGAAGGACGCTGTGCAAGACGTGTCTTCCCGAGACGCACCCGCGCAAGGGCATTTCCTTCCCGGGGACACCAGAGCGAATTGAAGGCTTCGCCTGTCCTTTCGAGGAATGCGGCGTCGAGCACGCGCGGGCAGATTGCGCGCCCGACGTCGCGCTGCAAAATCTCCTCGACCAAGGCCGGGACGAAATCGAGAAGGGCGGCGGCGTTGGGCTCGATGACGACGGCTCGGAGGCTTTCGCCACGTTGCCGGTGGCCGACCAATTGCTGGTGACAACTTACAGGCAGGCCAAGTCAGGGGACCTAAAGTTTAACCCGAGGTTCCCTGAGAACGGTTCGTCGATGGTACACGTCGACGTGCAGGAGGTGGTCGATCCCACCACAAACGGAAAACTTTCGGACATGTTAGTGGGGGAAGGGGGGATGCGCGACCGTAGCTCTGACGGCGCCACCAAATGCGTCACCGCCACCACCACTGAAACAATAGCCATTCAAGGCGCTATTATTACCGGCGTTCTGGAGGGGGCATCAACGGCTAGCACTGGTACGGACACCGACGCAGGTGCTGTGGCGCCCATTTCGCTGGCGGACAAAGTAACGGGTGCCATGAGAGGTGAGGCCGATTGCAAAGTCTGCTACGCCATCTTTTACGATCCTGTGACGACAGCTTGCGGTCATACATATTGTCGCCCGTGTCTGCAGCGGAGCCTCGATATCCATCCGTCCTGCCCGTTGTGTCGCCGAGGCTTATCGGCGAACACGTACTTCCGCGCCGAGTCTTCGCCGGCCAACGAGCGACTCGGCCAAATCTTGGAGGCATTGTGGCCCGACCAGGTAAAAGCCCGCAGGGATGCCGTGAGAGCCGAACGCCTCGCGCGAGAGGCCGAAGCCCAATGCGACTTACCCATCTTCGTGTGCACGGTGTCGCTGCCCACGATGCCTACGGTGCTACACATCTTTGAACCGCGCTATAGGCTCATGATCCAACGCGCTCTGCAGGGGAACCGGACTTTCGGGATGGTTCTGCCCCGGACGGCCGTGCGAGGGCTAGAAGGCGAGAGCGACGAGGAGAACCAACATTTGCCGTTTACGGAGCTGGGGACGCTGCTGCGGATTAAGAACGTTAGAATGTTCCCCGACGGTAGGAGCCTCGTGGAAGCCATCGGCATGTCGCGGTTCCGCATCGTCAGGCACTCGGTGCTGGACGATTACGTCGTCGCCAAGGTCGAGCGGTACGACGACATTAGCATCGCCGAGGAAGAAGCCTTTGAAGCGTCCGAGACGGTTGATTGGGAGGGCGACTTTGACGATCGCTCAGTCAGTGCGGGATCATTTACATCGTCGTCATCCTCCGCCTCCTCGGCCGGTTCTCGTCTTTCCCTATCTTCTCTTTCTCTTTCTCGCCGCCCTGGCCCCCCTTCTCATCCCCCGTCCCCGTCGCCTCCCCCCACGAACCACTCCTCGCGCTCCTCTTCCCGAACATCGCAAAGATCTTCCCCCACGCCGCCGCCCCCGCCACCCCTCTCCCGAACGCCCCGGACGCCCACGCTCGAAGAAATAGACACCATGTCGACGGCGTCGCTCATGGTGTACGCCAGCTCGACTATGGAGCGTAAGTGGCGGCGCTTCAGCGTGACGAACCGGGGGCCCCAGCCCGAGGACCCCAGGTTGCTGCCCTGGTGGCTCGCGGCCGTCTTGCCGACCCAGGACGTCGCCAAGTATCGCGTGCTGAGGGCGGTGAGTCTGAGGGAGCGGTTTAAGATTTGTTGTCGGTGGTTGGTGGAGTTGGAGGAGGGGAGTTCCGTGTAAGTTTTTTTTTTGATGTTTCTTTGCTTTTTTTGGCCCTTGGCCTTGGCTTCGAACGATGATCCTTATCGGCTTTGCTTTTTTCTCTTATTTCTTCCCATTTTCTTTTGAGCGTTTAGCAAGTTTGGATTTGGAGCTAACGGAGTTGTAGGAGCGGTGGATGTGTTGTTTTGTAAACGCAGAAATTGGGAGATTCGGAGCTGAAGTGCGGAGTAGAGCAAATCCTCTGCATGGGCGGGCCAGCGAGACTGGCGGGATTGACGAAGATGAGCATATCCCTGGCGACGGTGACAGCGACCTTTTTCACGCACATCGTCATGTTCTTTTTGGAGTGATGGAGTTGAGTACCGATTAGACCTAAGATACCTTTCATTGGCTTCGACCTACGATGCATATATGTAGCTTTTGGTGTTGGGGTAGTTTTAGATAGATCATAGATTGTATCCGTATGATACATACTTATACCATTCATATATCATACTATTGCTTCCCATAACACCTGCTAGGGAGCCTCACATTGGGGAAATAAAAAGAAAGGAAAAAAATAAAATAAAATAAAATTGGGGGGCCTTTGGGGGAGAAGTGACATGACCTTCGACTTTCTTGGGAGGCCTTGATAATTTCATATTTTGTGGATATCTAATTGGAAGCACTTCTTTACTTGTGGTATTGATCAAATTTTCACGCAAGGCTGGGGAGATGATTCTAGTAAATGCCATCTATTCTATTGTACAAAATAAAAAAGCAGGGTATTCCTAGCTAACCAATGTATGCAGTAGATATCGTACAAGAGCTCTATATCACCATGTATGATACAAGACATATCCCCCAACGCCGAATATTCCCTCCCATCCTTCTCTCTCTCAGATTCACGCTCACCGGGTAGTAGCCCTTACCACTCGGGCAGGACAAACAAGGACTTCGCGATCTCGAGCCGCTCCTTAAGAGCTTCCCTATCCCAGTCCTCGGGCGATTTATTTCCCCGCCTTCCCTTGCCCTCGTACTTCAGGTCCACGGATGAGGCTTTGTTTGTCTTGGGCTTCGTCGCAACAGACTTAGACCCAGACTTTGTCCGAGACTCAAACTTCCTCTCAAACTCATCCTCGTCCTCAACGACCTGATCGACAATCTCGTCCTCCCGGAGACCCATGTGCCTAAGGGTATTATAATACTCCGTGACGAACCGGTTGAGAATGTCCCGCCCGGACTTGTGCCTCTCGAGCTCGTGCTCGGGGAGCATCCGCTCGGTGATAACGCGATCCCAAGCGCTCACGAGCTTGCGACACGTAGCGAGAATCTCCATGCAATAGTTCTTAGCCTGGCCGCGCACGGTAGACGAGCTGTGTGGTTTGACCGCGGCAGCAAGGCGGGCGATCAACTCGGCGCGGCAGGCGTCGATGCATCCCGAAGCCCAGAGGTGATCGATAGCATTGAGGACCTGCTCAGCGTACGCGGCCTCGATACCCGCGCGGGCGGCCTCATCATCACCTGCCTTTTTCCGCGCGAGGCGGAATTTATGCCGGCTCAGCGCCGCAACGTCGACGTACATGCGCACACACTCAAGATCAGGCACATCAAGGATGGAAACCATCTTATCGTAGATGCGGTCCGAGTTCTGCGTAACGTTGGGGTTGACGTTATCGAGGAGGCACGTCTTGAAGGCGAGGCGGAAAGTCTCGACGGTGAGGAACTGCGGGGGCATGGCATCGAGGACGGCGACGGTCTGGGCGCTCGAGTGGGATTTGCGGAGGATGCTGAGGAGGGCGTACCAGTTATTGCCGTCTGGTACGATGCCATAGGTGTCCGTCATGAGCTGCCAGTAGCGGAGGGCGAGCTGCGTGAGGCGGGTGCGGTGGAGGGCGGAGAGGATGAGGGAGAGGGTTTTGGTTGTGGGGACGGGGGAGGTTGGTGAGGGCCTGGCGGGGAGCTTGGCCACGGATGGCGACTTGGGGACGCGTACGTCGACTACTTCGTCATCGGAGCTGGCCATGTTGTCGTGGTTTTCCGTCTTTTCTTGTTGGCCCACATTCGCGTCGAGTCGTGGGATCCCCATGGCCTGATGCAGCAGCGGAAAGACTTCCATTCTCACCGAGGGAGGGCCCAACGTCAGCATCCGGCCCATCGAGAACACGAGACCCTCATCCATGACGATCTGCGCCGAATTCCACTTGCGAACAGCCTCGTCCCAGATACGACGGGCCTGCTCTATAGTCTTTTCAATGGTCGAGTTGTGCTCCTCTCTCGTGTATCCCGACTTCTCTCCGTGCTTGAGGCGCTCGGCCTGATGATCGACCCAGCCGCGAAGTCCGTTGAGAATGGTGGCGTACGTAAGAGCGTCGGGCTTTCGGGCTTTGTTATCGATTGTGTTTGCGATGGACATCATGGCGTCGATGTCTAGAGAGCGCGCGCAGACCTCGAGAGCGGCGTTTAGGTGGATGACGTTTGGCGGGACGCGGGTGCTATTGAGCATGGTCATGTAGAGCTTGACCGTCTCGGCGACTGCTAATTGCCTGTGGTTCGACCTGGCGCAGCCTCTGAATAGGGTCGTGTAGGTTTGGGCATTGGGCAGTTGGCCCCGCTTCTTCATCTCGTTGTAGAGCTTGAAAGCAGCGTTGAGCCGCTGGTGAGAAAGCTGGTACTCCATGATAAGGTTCCAGCCCGCCGGGACCTGCATGTCCCTGCTTGCTATCCGGACCAGACCGATCGCTTCGAAGGGACGGTCCTTTCTTAGGCGGTTCGTGACGGCTTGGGCAAGTTTCCAGGGATCTTGTAGGCCGAGGCGATATTCGATTCTTAATTTTTTCATCATGGCCTTGTCTGCTTGCAGCGGGTCCTTTATGGGAACTATCGTTGGAGTGTTATTGACATCGAGAATGGCGGATACGCCGACCGTCTCCTTGGACCTGGAGCTGGTGACTATTTGGCAGCGGTTCTGGAGCTTCCATGATGGCGCGAGGGTGGTGGGCCTGAGGGAGGAGGCAATAGGTGGCCTGGCGAAGCCCGCTTTGGAAGCCTGCCGGATACAGTACTGTCGGGCTAACATGGCGAGGGGGTGGTCATTATATCAAGGTGACGGACGTCGTGATGTGAGGTCTCGAGGTGTTCTTGTCATGACAAAAAAAAATGTTAGCCAAGCCACAGTTTCTCCTTATCTTATCGGCCGCCACTGTGGTTAAGTGCATTTACAGAGTCGTACTGGGGGCAAGTACCTCCAGTCTGTACCTTCGCATTGGTTGGCCAATGGTAAAAGTGAACCAGGCCCCGACAACGCGACCCCGGTTCTCTGGGACGTGCACTAATACGCGTCGTTCGCGAGATTATTTTGCAATAGCATCGATTGCACAGAATCTTGCGAGCAACAATGTACAAGTGGGTCCAAGACAAGACGCGACACGCGCCAACTTTAATGACTTTAACCGAGTATAGAAATAGTACCAGCATCCATCATGTCCACTTTAACTCTGCCCCCATTAACAGTCTCAGTCTCCTCCAGCAGGGACACAGCAACGCAAGACTCGATCACCATATCCGCCAGTGATCCCGCATTCCCCTTTGCACATTGTCATGATCATCTAGTCTTACCAGTTGAGTTTCTTGTCCATCAGCCATGGCCAAGCTCGACAAGCGTGCCAAGCTCGCCGAGCTAAAAGCCCTCAGGAAGGCAGGGAAGAAGGTCTTCGACACGTACAAGGTCGAAGAAGCGCCTTCGCTATACGAGGAGGTTGATGAGGACGGATACAAGAAGATTGTCCGTGAGCGTCTCGACCAGGATGACTTCGTCGTCGATGACAACGGCGAGGGTTATGCCGACGACGGTCGTGAGGAGTGGGACCGAGCCCCTCAGTATTACTCGGAGAGTGAAGATGAGATGATGACTCGTGGTCGACCTAGCAAAGCAGGTATGTGGTCCAGAGAACTCCCTCGACTTGAATTGCCGCCAATTCCTGGAGAGGTGACCATTGACTGACTCTGCCGTGTAGCCAAGAAGCAAAAAGAAGACGAGAAGGCGAAACGCGATGCTAATGACCGCGACATTACCGAGTTCTTCACAAAGGGTGCTGCAAAAGCGCAGCCCAAGGTCAAGGTGAGCCAAACAAGACTTCCAAAGCACAATGTAATAGCGTAGGAGACTGATCGTCACTTCGATTCCAGGTGGCCAAAACGAAAGAAGATGACGATTTCCTTGCCGGCCTTCTCGGCGAGGTAGACAGCAATATCCCAGCCCCAATACCCCGCTCCGGGAAGCGAAACAGATCTCCAGCGCATCGAAAAGTTCGCGTCCTATCCCCCGAGCCCGCAACGAAGAAGAAGAAGGTCATCGACAACCGACTGCCATCACCTGACCTGGATGACGACGATTTCATTCCTCCTGTTGATGACCCTCTCCCGTCCGACATTCCCATGAGCGACCCCGCGCCATCATCGCCCACTGTCAAAGTCGCCGAGCGAAAGGCCCAGATTAAGGAGGAGCCGGTCAGTGACGACGAGGATGACGAGGAGATGATGGAGGTTGCGCATGTCGGCAGCGTGGCAACCACGAGCGTTAATATTGCTGGATCGAAGCCAGTCAAGAAGGATCTCAAGCACCCAGCTTACCCTTCGCCCGCGAGCTCTTCGCCTCCCGAGGCTGCTCAGGCTGCTGCCGCCACCGTCGACTCTTCCGCGTGGAATGAGCTCAACGACAAGCTCAATGTTGTCACGTCGTCCCCCCACCCCGCAACGCGGATCGTGGGCAAGATTGACCCTAATGATGCCGTCGAGGAGGACGGTAGTCTCAACATGTTCTGGACCGACTACACCGAGGTGAGCGGTAGTCTCTGTCTCTTTGGCAAGGTCCTTAACAAGAAGACTTCCACCTATGTCAGCTGCTTCGCTAAAGTTGACAATATTTACCGCAAGCTCTATTTCCTGCCACGCAAATTCCGGCTCGAGAATGGTGTCGAGACCGACGAGGAGGTCGAAATGAAGGATGTGTTTGAGGAGGTTGATGAAATGATGACCAATATGAAGGTACCGATACACAAGATCAAGGAGTGCAAGAGGAAATATGCTTTTGAGCTGCGAGATGTGCCGAGGGAGGCCGAATATCTGAAGTTGTTCTACCCGTATACGAGTACGTCGTCCCTGGCACTCCCCACTCGCCCTTCACTACGCAACTGTGTATCGGTTTAACTGACCTTTCCATCACAGGCTCCCAAATTGACTCTAGTAGGGTGGGCAGGACATATTCGCATGTGTTCGGTTCAAACACGGCACTTTTCGAACAGTTTGTGTTGTGGAAGAACATCATGGGCCCATGCTGGCTCAAGATCCAGGATCCTGACTTCTCTACTCTCAAGAACGCCTCTCACTGCAAGCTAGAGGTTCAGATTGACCACCCCAAGATGATTGCGCCTCTGAGTGAGGCGTTGAATGTAGAGCCTCCACCGTTGACGCTGATGAGTATCGCTATGCGCACTACCTTCAACGCGCGGGAAAATAGGCAGGAGATCCTAGCGTTGAGCGCTAGGATCTACGAGGACGTCAGCTTGAATGACACGACGCCGGCCGACCAATTGCCTTGCAGGACTTTTACTCTCATCCGACCTAATGGCTCCGCATTCCCCATGGGTTTCGAAGCTCTCGCCAAGAGAAGGAATAGGGGCCTCATCAAGACTATGAGGCAGGAGAATGAGATGCTCTCTTTCTTCCTTGCCCAGATCGATGTGGTCGACCCTGATGTAATCTTGGGCCATCAGCTCGAGGGTGTCGACTATAGCATCCTCCTTAACCGCCTCCACGAGAAGAAGACGCACCAATGGTCTCGTCTTGGCCGTCTCAGGCGGACCCAATGGCCCTCTTCTATCGGCAAAGTCGGCGGAAACGTCTTTGCTGAGCGCCAGGTTATTGCCGGTCGTCTTCTCTGCGATCTCGGCAACGATGCCGGAAAGTCCATCATGTTCAAGTGTCAGTCTTGGAGCTTGACCGAGATGTGCAGCCTCTACCTGCCGGGAAACAACCGCCGGAGAGACGTGGACAACGAGGTCGCGCTCAAGACCTGGGCTACCACTAGGGAGGGCTTGATGGACTACGTTACTCACATGGAAGCCGACACGTACTTCATTGCCGCCCTGGCCCTGCAGGTCCAAATGCTGCCGCTGACAAGGGTGTTGACTAACCTTGCCGGTAACTCCTGGGCGAGGACGCTTACCGGTACTCGAGCTGAGCGAAACGAGTACATTTTGCTCCACGAGTTCCATCGCAATAAATACATCTGCCCTGATAAGCAGATCTTCAAAGGTCGCATGAAGATGGAGGAGGAGAACCAGGAAGGTGATGGTGGGGAGAGCAAGAAGAAGGACAAGTACAAGGGCGGTTTGGTGTTCGACCCGGAAAAGGGCCTCTATGACAAGTTTGTGCTTGTGATGGATTTCAACTCCCTATATCCCTCGATTATCCAAGAGTTCAACATTTGCTTCACTACGGTGGATCGATCTGCTTTGGTAAGAAGAGACTACACCCGACCAGTGGAAGGAACTCTTGACGACTAACGAGGACATATATATAGCCCGAGGATAATCCCGATGCCGTGCCCGAGGTTCCAAAAGAACAGGAACTCGGTGTCCTTCCCAGGCTCATCTCCACGCTTGTTACCCGCCGACGTCAGGTTAAGTCTCTCATGAAGGATAAGAATGCTACTCCCGAGCAGCTGGCCACCTGGGATATCAAGCAGCTTGCGCTCAAGCTCACGGCCAACTCCATGTACGGTTGTTTGGGTTACTCCAAGTCACGATTTTACGCTCGACCTCTCGCCATCCTTACAACCTCCAAGGGACGTGAGATTCTACGCAACACGAAGGAACTGGCAGAGGGTCAGTCGCTTCAAGTCATCTACGGTGATACCGACTCGGTCATGATCAACGCCAACGTGGACAACGTTGCCGACGCCCTCAAGGTCGGCAGGGAGTTCAAGAAGATGGTCAACGATCGGTATAGGCTCTTGGAGATCGACATTGACAACATCTTCCAGCGCATCCTTTTGCAGGCCAAGAAGAAGTATGCCGCCATCAACTTGGTGGAGAAGGACGGCAAGTATGTGCAGAAGATGGAAGTGAAAGGTCTCGACATGAAGCGTCGGGAGTACTGCGCTCTTTCCAAGGAAGTCTCGACCCGTGTCCTTAATGAGATTCTCTCTGGCGACGAGACAGAGGTGGCTGTGGGTCGTATCCACGAATACCTCCGAGAAATCTCGGGCAAGATGCGGGAAAAGGCGATCCCCGTCGGCAAGTACATCATCTTCACGCAGCTCGGCAAGGCGCCGCAGGAGTATCCCAACGCCGACTCCATGCCGCAGGTGCAGGTGGCTCTCCGCGACATCGCGCGAGGCAAGACCGTTCGCAAAGGTGACGTCATTTCGTACATCATCACCGGCGACTCGGGCTCGTCCGAGCCGGCTCCCAAGCGTGCCTACGCGCCCGGCGACGTCACAAAGGCCGACTCGGGTCTTTCCCCGGACGTCGAGTGGTACATCGGCAAACAGATCTTCCCTCCCGTCGAGCGTCTCTGCGCCAACATTGCCGGCACGTCCACAGCGCAACTCGCGGAGAACCTAGGTCTCGACATCAAGCGCTACGCCACCAACAACGCAGTGAACCAGTCGTCGTTCAACGACAACGAGATCCACCCACTCGAGTCCCAGATTCCCGACCACGTGCGGTTCGCCGACTGCGAGCGCCTCTCGCTCCGCTGTCGCGCCTGTAAAGAATCCATGGTCTTTGAGGGCCTCGTGGGCTCGCCCGACCTCGTCACGCCCAAGGGAGTGGCGTGCGGCAAGTGCAAAGCCACGATACCCGTCCTCTCCATCGTGGCGCAGGTTGAGCACGCCGTGCGGCAACACACGTCGAGGTACTACGAGGGCTGGCTCGTCTGCGACGACGCGTCGTGCAGCGCGCGCACGCGGCAGATTAGCGTCGATGGCTCGCGGTGTCTCGGGCCCCGCGGTCTCGCCCGCGACTGCGTCGGCAAGATGCGGTACGAGTACAGCGAGAAGGCCATCTATAACCAGCTTCTCTACTTTGCGTCGCTCTGGGACGTCGATAAGGCGCGTTATATAGCTGAGGATAAATCGGCGGAGATGCCGACGGGGGCTGATCGGGACGAGGTGCTTGCGCGGGCAGAGCAGAACCGCAAGAGGTTTGGGACGGTTAAGGGGGTTGCTGATGGGTACTTGAAGAAGTGTGGGAGGCAGTGGGTGGCGATGGATAGGCTTTTTGCGAAGCTGGGGGCTATTTCTGGTACCTCGAAGGAGGCGGAAGTAGCTGTTTGAGGAGGAGAGAGTTTGGCGTAGTGAGAGGAGACTTGAGCGCTTATCATTTCGGGTGGGGATGGAAGGAATGGGTGGCTTTATGATGGATGGTTTTTTTTTCCTTTTTACTCATGTCATAATACCGGCGTTTGATGGTTGGGGTACATTGGGGTTGTGCTTGTACAGAGCTAGGAACGAGTAGAAGCCTTGAATACTTTTTACGTTTGATTTCCTCTGGGGAGATGTTGGTGATAGCTGTTGGATCTCGATCTCGCTCTGGACCTTGCGTTCGCTGTTAAATCTGTAGGCCCGTCTCTGAAGCGGAGGCAAAACTGATACCCTGAAAGAAACGCATGCCCGGCACAGCATCGCCGCCAAGCCGGAACTTATGATGGGTTGTAACCGCCTCCACCGGTGATTGACGAGAATCGAGATGACTTCGGAGAACGGCGGTCATGTTGGACGGAAGTTCGAAGGGAAATCGGGGATTCTTTAATTGTATTACCTTGATTATCGAAAATACCCAAATAATACCCCAGTATTTCTCAATAATCCATCGAGACCACTGTATCGGGGTACGGCCCCTCCGAAGCCACAACTCGCCCACCATCACATCGACAGGGACCAGAGCTTCAGCCACATGTAACACTCCAGCCACAAAATCCAGGAACGTCGCTTCAAATCTGGGGACGCGATTTTCCCAAGCACGACAAAGAATCCAAACCAAAGCTATCGAATGCAACACCTCGACTCGGCGACCACCGGAACTTTTCAAAGTCAAATTCGAAAACACATTTGTTCCAATTTAATGGCTTGAAATCTCCGGGCTACTGAGAACGCCACCTCCTTCCTCTTTTTATTTGCATTCCTACCGATTCATCCAAGCGAACGACTGTAAGGCTCGCGCCATCACCACACATGCCATCCGACGACCTCTCCTAGACTTTGCCTTGAAAACGCCGCTTGCGGACCTCCGCTCCCAGGTCTCTCACACCATCAGCGGAAAAGAACTCAGCTCTCTCTATCCACGATGCCCAGCGCCACCGTCGACGGCAGCTACGGCATCCCAGCCGTAGCCTCGTGCGCCACCTTCCTCAACGACGTCCTCGCCCGCGCCGACACGATAAAGAACGAGCCGACTATCGAGCCGCCCCTAACGAAAGCCGAGCTAGGCGACGTATCGGCGCAGCTGACTGCACTGTTCGACGAGGCCCTGGGATCTTCTGAGGAGGATGCGACGGAGAGGCCATTAAGACAGTTTGCCATTTTCGAGACGGCAGCAAGAGATCTTTTCAGCCGTTTAATAGTACGTGGAGTTTCCATCAGCAAGAAGAAAACGTCGAGACTTTCATAGCTAACCCAGCCTCTCCTGTAGGCCACAACCCCGATCGAATCCCCCGAATTCGTCAAAGTATGGAACTTCCTCGACCTCCTAGCCATCCTCTCCGACGAAGAACGCTGCGAACCCGCCCTCCTCTTCTGGCTCGTCGAAGAGCTCCTCGACAGCCAAACCATATCGGGTTGCCGCAAGATCTTCGACTTTCTCGAGTCCCGCCGCGAGCGCATCACAGCCAAGCACTTTAAGCAGAAGCAGCTCGTGATCCTCCGCAGCTGTAACGAGCTGCTGCGGAGGCTTTCGCGCGCCGAGGACACGGCTTTCTGCGGGCGTGTGTTCATCTTCTTGTTCCAGAGTTTCCCACTGGGCGATAAGAGCTCGGTGAACTTGAGGGGCGAGTACCACGTCGAGAATGTCACGACGTATGATGCGACCACACCACCCACGGCCGAGCAGGACGAGGTGATGGAGGTGGATGAAGGCGGCCCCAAGGAAAATGGCGAGCAGAAACAGTCACTAAAGGCGGTTACGTTCGACCCGAAGAAGACGCCTAGCGGGAAACCGCCGCTGAACACGGATGTGTTTTATCCCGTTTTTTGGTCCCTCCAGGATAGCTTCAGCCAGCCCAAGAAGCTGTTTGATCCGGCGTACTTTGCCCGCTTCCGCGGTGCTATGGAGACAACCATGACGGCGTTCCGGTCCATACAGGTTGAGAATGGATCTAGGTCATCTAAGACGACGACGCCTGCTGTGGACGATGGGAAGAGGAGTCTTAAGAGGAAGAGGGATGATGGCGAGACGGATTTGGCGAATGCTTTTAACCCAAAGTATCTTACTAGCAGGGATCTCTTTGAGTTGGAGGTATGTGCCTAGAGGACAGAAACGAGAGGAACTAGGCGCGGACGCGGGTACTGACTTATGTTTTTCTTCTTCTACAGATCAGCGATCTTTCTTTCCGTCGACACGTCCTCGTCCAAGCCCTCATCATCATGGACTTTTTACTATCTCTATCCGCCAAGGCAAAGGAGAAGTTGTCTACGGCGAGAGCTCACAATAAAGCCGTTGAGTATCTCGACCAAAAGCTCAGCGATGACGATGTAAGCTTCCGATTTTCTCTCTCGTTTCCGTTTCTTTTCACTATATTTCCTCTTTTTTCCTACTTTTCTCTTGTTGGTGCCTAACTAACCCTCTTATTCTCTCGAGACAAAATGGGCAACGGACATGAAGCGGTCCATCGCAGACTACCTCCGACAGGGCTTCGAAGGCCCCTACTTCTTCCGCATGGTCGAGACAGTCCTATCTCGCGACAAGAACTGGGTACGATGGAAAATCGAAAACTGTCCACCCATGGGCCTCCCGCCCGTCACGGCGGAGCTTTTCGCCGAGGCCAAGAAGACGGTGCAGCGCAACACGACCAACAAGCGTCTGCGTCCGACGCCCATGGGATCCCTCAACCTCGACTTCCTGATGCGTAGCAATGAAGGAGAAGGAGAGGAAGACGCAGGCCTGGAACGTCTCAAACATAGAGACCGCTACGCCCTCCCCGAACTCGACTCGTTCAAACGCAAAATTGCAGACGACGACTTCGAGATCGAGATGCCCACCAACGCCCAGACAAAAGCCGCCGCCGTCGAGGGCAAGGCGAGCAAGTCGTGGAGGGCTCTTCGGATCGCGGGGCGCATCAAGTTGGCGGCGTTTGATCGCATCGATGACCCGGACAAGATTGACGTCGTGTTCGAGGACGACGCGGCCCAGGGCGGTGGTGGCGATGACGATGACGAGGCTGAAGAGGATGCAGCGCGGGTTAGTCCCGAGGATATGCCCGACGATAAGACGCTCGTCGTCGTGGCCGGGTTGGCGGGCTCGGGCAAGTCGACCCTCGTCGAGGGGCTGTTGGCGAAGCGGCCCGGCGTGTTTAAGAGGGTTGTAAGGCACGCCGCTCGTGTGGCTGGGGAGGGCGAGGTTGATGGGCGGGAGTACAAGTTTGTGTCGGCGGAGACTTTTAACGTCATGCTTAACAATGACCAATTTATCGAGTTTGGGCAGGATGGGGATGGTGTCGAGTATGGGACGAGTCGGAGGATTGTCGAGGGTATCTTGGAGAAGGGCAGGGTTCCTATTGTGGAGGTCCCTGTTGATGTGAGTAATTTCCTTTCCTGTTCATTCTTCCCTTCTTCACAAACACCCGGGCGCAGACCCCTCTCCTGTCCTCTCTTCTCTTCTTTTTGCAAAGCCAGAAACTAACATCTACCAGTCCGCAACCCAAATCAAAGAAAACGCCTTCCCACACCGCTCTATCCTCCTCTCCCCAGCGCCAGACTCCTTCGCCGAACGCCTCCGCGCCGCAGATGAAGGCAAAACGTACCCCGAGGAGAAGATCGCCGAGATCCTGGAGAAAGCCAAGGCTTTTAGTCCTGAGCAGACGGAGGGTTTCGATTTGGTGGTTGGTGATGAGGAGGGGAAGGATGGGGTGGTTGAGCGGGCTTGGGGGTTTGTGTATGGCAAGAAGGAGTGAGGCATGTGGAGAGCTTTTGAGATGGTGGAAAGGGGGGAAGGAGAAGACGAGGTGAAGGGAGGGTCTGAGACTTGAAGGCATTTTTGCTCCCTGCCCTTTTTCAGCAGTTGGCGAGTACTTTTTTAAGAAATTGACCATGAGCGTAGGAGAGCGGTTTCATCATGAGGATGAGATACAGGATTCATGGCTTTTTGTTTTCATGGCATGACACGGAATAGGAACATTCTTAGAAGGTAAAAAAATCTATCAACCTTGATGATACCCAAGCTCTTCAACCCCTTCAACTACCTGATCCAGTCTTTTCCATGAGGCAATTAAATGAAGCAGCCGGATGGATGCTCTTCCCACTGAGGGGAAGACCCAAGTTTCCGTAGGGCGGAAACTACAATTGGTCGTTCTCGACTACTTTTACAACTTTTACGCTCAACATATCACAGCATCACTTCACAAGAAAGACAAGAAAACATGAAAATGACAAAAATGTATTCCCTCGTCAACTCGGCCAGTCGAACAAGGCGTAGTCAGTCTACCCCTAATTCAAGGAAAGAAAGAAAAAAAAAATGATGTACATTGGCCTAAAAAACCTCATCAAGGAAAAGAAAAAAGAGAAAGAGAGAAAAGAAGAGGACCCAGAGAGGAAACCGGCAACAACCGCCCGTCCTCCCAACCGAGGAGGGGAAAGAGGGTCTTTAGTATACGAGAATTCCCCCAAAATATATTTCCCTCCTCCTCCCGGTGAGAGGCATCCGTCTCTCCTTTTCGGCTTCTCGAAAGATAGGGCGTCGGCGTCGTCGTGAATAAACTCTGAAGATCCTTCTCCTTTTCCAATTGAGTCCTCCCCTCCCCATTCTAGTCGTCGGTCGAATTCAGTCAGGGGGTGTGTTCTTAGTTGGGCGAAGAGATCAAGTTGTCCGGTGGGAGATGGCCGAGAGCGCTATAAAGCGTCGAAGAGCAGTGACAAGTTGGCGAAGAACGTTATAATCCGAGCAAGGGATACGAACAGATCCCCATTTCCGTCGTATTCCTTCTCGAGAAAGATAAGCTCCTCGCGGTTCCATATCGTTTCGCCATCGACAATCGAGTATATCCGAGCTTCGCAACCCGGCATAGTGGTCAGAAGAAGGACGAACTACCATTCTTCCTTTGAGCGCTTCGCCATCCTTCTTCGCAGGGAGAAAGAGAGCATAGAGAAGGGGAGGGACCCGTCCAAACCAGCGATGGCTAGACTCGTTCGAAAAAGTGTAATGAGAAATAAAAGACGAATAGCAGAAAAACAAACAGACATTCCTCAAGAAAAAGACGACGCAGATACCCCCTTTTAGCCATGAAATCTGTATTAGACGCAACAAAAAAAGTTAATGGGAAATAAGACAAGAGTGAGAATGCCGAGAAGGGATCAAGGAACTGAAAACAAAAACAAGCAGGCTCAAATCAAAATAATGGCACAATGAAGTGGTTGAGAGAGGAGAGAACAACGAAAACGGACATGTCAAAGGCCCCAAAAGCTGCCATGGAAAAACAAAACGTTAAAAAGAATAGACAATCACCAACTAAAAAGAGTCGAAAAGGAGGAGGGAGAATAAAAAGAGATACACACAAGCTCTTTTGTTCTTTTCTTCTCTCTTCCTCTTCTCTTTCTAAACCCCCCTTTTCCGTCCCTCTTTTTATCTTTCCGCCCCTTTCCCCCTGAATTGCCGAAAAAATTAAAAAGGAACAGGAATCAATAAAAAAAAGGCCGTATCCGTCTATGCTTTGGGTTGCTCAGGTATCATCGGTATGAAAAGTGTGTGTGTCGGAAATGAAGAAATTATCAAACTTTTGTGTTCTCAAGCCGCATTCTTTGTGTGTTTGTGAAAAGCCTCCCTTCCAAAATGTAGAGATTGATGCTTGGGAAAAACAAACCCTTTGCCCCCCCAATGGTCTATTTGCGAAAATGCAATGGCTCCGCCGAATCTCGACTTTTTACCAATCGAACTCGGAGAAATGCGTTAGAAAGAAAAGGAACATTAAACACTGAGAAACGACTTTTATCCCCTTTTTTTTGCCAAATGTCCAAACCCTCAACTTCAAGGCTTCTTGTCAGGGACGACCTTGGACAAGGCCGGGGAAGCTGACGTTGAAGGAGGAGAGACGGGGTTTTCCGAGTCCATCGTCGCTAGAAGACTATAAAAGGCAAACGTGGTTAGTTTAGATGAAAGAGAGGCGGGGCGATAGAAAAGGAGCGAGAGAAAAGCCATCAACTTACCCAAAGGTGTTTGAAGACTCCCTTGTGGGAGGAGTGCCAGTCCGGGAGGACATGCCAGAGTTGTCTCCCGATCGTCCGAGCACACCACCAGGGCCACCAGGACGGCGACCGCTGTTGGATCGGGACGAGAGCATTGAGTGGGGGCCAAGAGTAACTCCGCTGCTAGGGAGCCTGCTGTTGGACTTGAGGCGCTTGAGGTCGTCCATGCCCACGACGTTCGTCGTCTGGCCGTAACCCGAGGAGAAGGACCTAGCATCTCCACGGCCCATGGGAGGCCTGGGGCCACCACCACCACGCTGGGACCTCGCCGCCTCGGCCGCCTTAGCTGCGGCGAGCTTCTCGGCATCGGCGCGGACTTCTTCGAGGGTCTTGGGGCCCTTGTTGGCCTCGGCGGACTTCCAGCCCTCCTCGCGGAGGTCACGGACGTCCATGAGCATGAACTTGAGACGGTTCTCGAGATCGGGGAGGTCGATCATGCCCTGGATACGCTTGAAGTAGGCATCCATCATAGGTTTGCCCTTTTCGGAGGCATCGAGCTGAGCGCCGACGGTCCTGAGGAGGAAGCACAGAGATTCGATCTCGGCCTCCTTGGGCTCGTCCTTGTAGTCGACGAGGCCGTGAACACATCCGTGGATGATACGTTCCGTGAGCATACCAAGCTTGAAAAGCTCACCAATGAAGCGGACCAGACCGAGACCGCGACGCTTGACGGCGGCGGCCTCGTAGTACTCGTCGGACAACAGCTCGGCACCGTGCACCTTGCTCTCGCCAGCCTTCTCAGGCACGCTCCAGCCCTTCTCGTACTCTTCTTGGCATCGGTTGAGGAGGTACTTGCGGAAGAGGTTGCCGCCGCTAACGACATTTCCATGCTTGTCCTTGATGGTATCATCCTTGATCTCGGGGGACATCTGATCAAGCATGCGCTTGCAGAACTTGGCATACGTCGTCGAGAAGTGGGGTTCATCGGTGGCCTTCTCGAATGTGAGCTGAATGACTTGGCGCAACGTGCGGCCGTCGTTCTCGTTCTTTGATTGGTTGGCAATTGTGAGGATCTGGTCCGAGATCCTGTCAAAGTTTTCGGGCGTCATCTTGTTGAGCGCCGCCTTGACCTTACGCTGCACCAGCTCGGGCTCGAGGTGGCCTGTGGCACTGGCTTGGGCGCCCTTGCCAATGCTTGTGGGCTTCCAGCCCGAGGCAGAAACCGTGATGGGCTTCAACTCTTGGCCCTGAGTGAGAGGCATGGTCTTGGCATTCTGAGCTTCCTTCTGGCTGAAGCCTTGCTGGCGGTGGCTGCCTTGCCTGCGCGTGCTACCTTGCCTAGGCGAGTTGGGGCCCATGCTGGGGTTGGATGGTTGTCTGCCACCGGCCATGAGACTTCCAGGGAACGAGCCACGGAATCCGCCGGGCATTCCAGGCATCGAAGCTCGACCCTGAGACGGGATTCCAGGTCCTCCGGGACCCGATGTGCGGAACGAGCCGATAGGAACAGGGGTGGGGAAACCACCACCGCCGCCTCCGCCAGCACCTCCACGAGTGCTCGATCGCGAGCCGGCAGGGGCACGAGAGGTGGTGGACTTGGCACCATCCGAATCTCCGATCAGAGATTTAACTTGAGACTGGAACTCGAGCGATGGCTGCTCGGTGAAGACGTTCTGGAACTGCAGCAAGAAAGCCGCATCGTACTTGAAAGCCTGGCCACGCTTGCCCACTGCAGCGTTGACGGCCGGGTTGGGGGAGGCAATGCTGCTTCCGGCGTAGATGCTGGGGTCGTGCGCTTCCTTGATGGTGAGGAATCGAGACGTCTTGAGAGACTGGAGAGCAGCGCTGGGTTGGGGAGCCTCGACGGGCTTGGTGTTGAGAGAAAGGTTGAGCGCCGCAGGCTTTCGCTGCTGCTTGTCGGGGCCCTTTCCGGTGGCGGATGTAGGCGTGGGGGGCTTCGAGTCGCTGGATGCCGCACCCAGGCTCATGCTCGCAAGCTTGTCGGTAACGGCGTCAAGCTTAGGCGATTCCTCGGCAGGTAGGTTGCCGCTGCGCGCTTGGGAAAGAAGCTCGGCAACACTCTTGCCGGAGCCGGCGCCCTGCTTAGCTCGCCTCTCCTTTTCTTCCTCGAGTCGTTCCATCTCACGCTCGGCCTCACGAAGCTTTCGGTCGTTCTCGGCAGCCTGGGATGCGCGATCCGCATCAGCCTTCTTCTTAGCTTCCGCCTTGGCAGCCTCGGCCTTCTTGCGGTGCTCCTCCTCCTCGGCCTCGCGTAACCGGTCGGCTTCCTCCATCTCGCGGATGATTCGCTCCATCTCATCCTCTTCAGTCTCGGCGGCGGCCTCAGCCTCCTTCTTCTTCTTCTCGGCCTCAGCCTCGGCTTCCGCCTTGGCCTTCTCTTCGGCCTCCTTCTTAGCCTTGGCTTCAGCTTCCTCCTTGGCCTTCTTTTCTGCCTCTTCCTTGGCCTTCTTCTCAGCTTCAGCCTTAGCCTTCTCCTCGGCTTCCTTCTTCGCCTTGGCTTCGGCTTCGGCCTTTGCTTTTGCCTCGGCCTCGGCCTTGGCGGCAGCCTCTTCGGCCTTAGCATCCGAAGTCCTAGACGCTTGCGCCGTCGCCTCGGCGATCTTAGTGCGAAGCTCCTCCTGCACCTCCTCCTTGGTCTTGGGAGGCGCCGCAGACTCGGTGCGGGCATGTGCGGGTGTGGAAGGCTTGGTCGGGGGCGTGGCGGTAGAGGATACTACGGGAGGCGTCCTGCTGGTAGGCGCGGGAGAAGACGATTTGATATTGGCAACGTCAACAACCTCGCCGTCGGGCCTCTTGATGACGAGGGCCGCGCTCCTCTTGCTCTGGCGCGCCAGGTTCCCCGAACCAGACACGACGGGCGGCTTTCCTTGCGCGTGGGAGATCTGTGGGGACGAAACTACAACGGGCTGGTTGCCAGGGCCAACGCCGAGGTTAGGCTTCTCTGAGGTAGACGGGGTTCGAGACATGGCGGCGGGGCCAGCGGGGTGGAAGGGAGGCGCGCCGTACGGCGGGCCAAAAGCTGGCGAGCCAGTCTGGCCGGGATAAGGCATAGCGTAGTTACCATAGCCCATGTGAGCCATAGGGCCGGGATACTGGTTAACAGCACCGGGCTGCGTGTAGACGTATGGACCTGGCATGTTCTGTTTTCTCTGAGTTAGCACCTGCTGAATCTTTTCAAAGTTTTCAGTCTCGGGAGAGAGGTCAATGTCCAGAGGATGGGGCAGGATTTGCTGGCCGCGCGGCACTTGAGCCGGATGAGGTTGCTGCCGCTGATACTGGTACTGCTGCTTCTGTTGCTGCTTCTGCTGAGGCAGCTGTTCCGAGACGTAACGCGAGTCTACGCCGTTGTTGCGTCGATATGCAACAGGAGGCGGACGGTACAGATCAGGGTAGACAGCCGAGCGCGAATAACTATTACCGCCGCGCTTACTTGAGCGCTGGAACCGCTTGGCATGCGGGGGACTGCCTGGGGGACTGCCCCTCCAAGAAGACTCGGTCTCGGGTCGCTTGTCCCAGTCGAAGGACTTGGCATACTTTCTGGCGCCCCGCGTCTGAGAGTGCGTAGAGGAAGAAGAAGATACAAAGGAAATAGAGGAAGACGCATAGGAAATAGGGGGAGGAGGGTTATGTACAGGTTGGCCGCCCATAGGAGGAGCGTAGAATTGAGGAGGAGTTTGAACAGGCATCGCGGGTGCCATGTTAGGCGTGTTGGGGTTAGAAGGCATAAGCGCAGGACTGCCTCGAGTCGGCTGGGGGCTGTTCGCGTAGCCTCGCGGAGGTGGCTGTGGTTGGAAAGCGGGCGGCATCGAGTTGCGGCCCTGGCCGTGACCGTTTCGGTACGAGTTCGGGGGAGGGTAGCCTGCCTGGGGGTTGTAAGGAGGATTGTTGGGGTTGAATCCTCGGCCACGTCCGCCGTGGTGGTAGCCGCCACGGTTGGGACCGGGCATACCCTGATTGCCCATGTCGCCGGTGCTCGCCATGGAGATATTAGAGCCCTGCCGCGTGTGCAGGGGTTGGTTGTGAAGAGCCGGGTTATTAGGGGGAATAGACGCTCTCATGTGGCGCTGCGGAAAAGAAATGGCATTAGTCTGCATGTCCAATAAGGCAGGTTCGTTTGTGGGAAGAGAGAAAGGTGAATGTGGCGATAGACACTTCGCTTTTTTTTGGTCGGGGGAAACTGGGAAGACAGAAAGGGGGAAGGAAAAGGCAGAGTATGGGAGGCAAATATATAGTAGCTTACCTCAGGATCGTTATTGAAGCTGCCAAAGCTAGGCTTGACGTCTCCAGACTGAAGACCCGCAGGAGGTCGACCGCCGCTCGCAGCCGGTTGGGGGATGGGCGAAGGTGATTGAGCGGGAGAGGCCACCCTGGGGTTACCGCCACCGGGAATGGGGATGGGGGAAGAAGCACCGAGCTGAGGAGTGCTGTGGGACACGACTGGAGAGTCGCGGAAGCCGAACTGGATGTTCTTGGGACCGCCTACAGGACCGCCGTTTGCGCCGTAGGACGGGGGACCATTAGCGCTAATGGTGACGGAGGGCTTCCGGGCGTGGTCAGCGGCGCCACCGTTCACGGCGGACGAACCGTGAACCACAGGGACGGCTGGAGGAATGGTGGGCCTGCCGTTCGCTGGGGAGGCCGAAGCAGGCTTCGCGTTGGAGGTGGCGGAGGAACCGACCACGACAGGGGCAGGATGGGAGCCCGAAGCAACTAGGGTGTTCGGGCCGGCAGCAGGCTTCTTCGACGCACTGGCAGCGGACGCATAAGAGGGTGCTGCAGTGTTTGTCGCCTGTGTCGAGTTCTGCGGCGTTGCAGTAGAAGTCATATGTGATGATTGATGTCGCCCCAGACAATCCTGGGATTTGCCGCTATTCGGTTCGTTGATGATGCGAGTCGGACGATGGGCTCGGGACGGAGATGGGATGCAATGCGCTGATGGAAAGGAGCGCGTTTGCTTGGCCGTTTCCGATGATGGGAGTCGCGGTTGACACGCTCTTGATGGATAGACTCGAGATGACGATGATCACGAAGCCTTTGTCGTCGGGGATGATGGGAGATCGCTCGACGCCAGGGGAGGGTGAATCTCAGATTCGAAATTACTTCCGTCGGGATGCAATCAGATTAACCTTCTGATCTCAAATTAAGGAGATTAAAAAAGGTTGTTGATGCAAAGTTTTTTCTCGTCTTTTCCAAGGTAAAAAAAAAGAGAACCAGGAAAAGAGAAGAAAAAAAAGAACCAACACGAGAAAAGAAGAACCGCGTTTCGTTTCGCAAGTGGGGGGAAGACTCGTCGTTACTCGGGGGAAGGAACGAACGATGAAGATGAAGTTTTGCGAAGAAAAAAAAAATTTCGTCACGGTCCTGGTCGGGAAGTCCAAAGGAACGAAACCGCCGAGAATGTACGTTACGTCGCGACACCACAACAGGGACTAATTAAAAGGATAAAAAAAGTCTGTGTGGAAGGGAAAAACGATTAACGGAGTGGAGATGGTTCTTCTGTACAAAAAGAAACAGAAGAAATGGATAAAAAAAGGGCCTTCGGGAATGATGCTTCCTCCTGGCCTCTTCAACTCTGGGGATGTGTGGGTTTAGGAGTTGTTTTGAGGAGGAGAGGGAAAAAATTTTTGGGCTTTGGAAATAATATTATTTTCTGGGTTTGGGGGGGGGCGGACGGTGGATGGCGACCAGGCCAGACCAAGCAAAGGGAGAGAAACGCTGGAGCGAGCACGAGGAGGAGACGGGGGGAGGGGGGTGCGGCTTGCTCCTTCCTCCAGGCAGACGGGGGCGTGTGTGTGTGGGACCAGCCAAGCCCGACCGTTGCCCTCAATTTGAACGAATTCAGTGAAGTCCAGCACTGGAGTTAAGGTCTGGTCCGCTGTCCCAGTGGCGCATCTCCGTACCAGCGCCAATCATCCAGTGATGGGCGGTGGCACGGTCCCTTCTATTTTCTAATACGCCAGGTACTCCACCACTACTCCAGTTACTGCTTCAGTGGTTTCGATGAACTTAGGAGCCAACTGGACTGAGCACCAGATGGCAGAGGGTAACATCATCAATCAGTGCTGGCTGAATCTACGTATTGTATGCTAGACGGTCACCCAATGGATCAATGATTAGATCAAATCAGCATCATACCAGAGGTGGAGGCAGCCAGCCCTGGTCCTGACTGTATATGTACTGCCAGCCTTCGTCCACAAGACGAGAGCAAAAATGCAATCTGATCCAACTACGTTGCCCATTTCTGTTGTGAGTTTGTTGGATGACAGCCATCTCAGCCACAAATCCAGGGTCTGTTTGGCCGTGATACACTACCGCCATGATGATACATTTGATGTCATGTCAGGTCAAGATGAAGCTTCCTCTTCAAGCACAAACCACATCGGAATATATATGGGGTGTGCGCGCGTGTGTGTGTGTGTGTGATGGGGCTACTATCAGAAGCGAAGCTCGCCAGTTCTCAAATCGGGGCCACAACCTTGAAGATAATGTCGTGTTACACTTGCCAGTAGAGTAGGGTACTCAAATACGCAAATACGCAAAACTGTTACAGTACAGACTCGAATGAGGCTTTTGCCCTTCTTTGCCTTTTTGCCTCGTGTGCCCTCACGTCGCACTGAAGAGAAGAAAAAAAAAACAGATCAGTAAGTACTTTCTTCCTGTCTTCTTTCCATTTTTTTCTTTCTTTCTTTTTTTCCTCTTTTTTCCCTCTTTCTTAGATGGTCAATATCAATACTTCGTCCTTAAAGGTACTTCGTGCTTCGTTGTTTGGATGGGTCGAATCAATGATCCAACATCTTGGGCGATACGGGGCAGTCTACGCTAAAACATTTTTCCTTCGGAGCTGTGGGGCCGCCGGCCAGGAAACATTGAAGCTAAACTCACTTCATTGAGAAGTACATAGCGGAATGTACCTTGAAAAGGAAAATCACATGTATCTTTACATATCAATTACAGTATTGAGGTGACATTACTAAGCATATTCAAAGGTCTTTTCCAGTTCTCTCCATCTCGCAGCTTTTGTTTCTTCCCTCTTTTGACTGGAATGTACGCAATGTAAGACACCACCTTTGGCCCTGGTTATTGTCATTGAAGTGTTGAAGTCCAATCCTCGATGTGGGAAATAAAACGGACATATTATCGCCCTTTTGTTTCTTGCCAGGGAGGGAGGAAACAAAGATAGACAAAAAAAGAGAACCCAAAAATACCACCTCGAGCCGGGTCAGGCTTGGGTTGTCGTCCACCAACAAGTACGCCCAAGGCAGCTCGCCTTACAAATCCAACAGAGTCGAGACTTGGGGTTAGGTCTCTCCGCATGAAAGGAAGAGGGAAATATGTACACTACACTAGGCAGAGAAAAAGAGACGGCTGCGCCAGGCCTATCTGACCTCTCGACAGCCACATGCAAGAAAAGAGGAGAGAGAAAAGAGACGAAGAAGAAGAAGAAGAAGAAAAGACACTTAACCTCTTCCGGAAGCTCGGTTGGGATTTGTTCCAATGCTTATTTCGTCTTGCCACTGATGCATCCCATGGGCTTATTTCGAGAGAGACAGAACCTTTGATAGACTCTTCGAATCTCAAATCTCGAGGGAGGTAATATGGGAAGAGCGCGTTCAGCGTTCATCCTAGCCGCTGGCTCATAGAGTCTTCGACGCGTCCCACGCCCATTGGGCACTGGTACCTTCCCTTCCCACTGCCAGGATCAAATGATATTGCAACATAATTTCCCGCCTCTGAAGTAAACCGGTGTGCTGGAGCGCGCTACTTGCAAAGCCATCTCATGCCCTGGTCGAACCACATCCAAAGTTAAGGGTGATACAGTATTGTTCACAGTCTTCGATTGATATCAACGAGAGACAGCTCGTGACAAGCCCAGTACTTGATGACGTCTTGGTTATTATTTCAGTTTCGAAGCTGTGTTTCCTGGCTTCCATCAAGATCCACCGTGAAGGGCAAGGGCAGGGCTTTGGACGACCATCTAATGCATCCATCCATCCAAGATGCAGCGAAATCTGCATGCCATCAACAGCCAGTCCCATCGGCCAATGTGGTCAGTCCGGTCGTCTCCAGCCCTGAACTCGCCGACTCCAGAGCCGGGAAATTCCTCAATTTATAATGAAAAAAATTCATACGCCGCAAATTAGGCACTTCTCGCTCGTTCAGTCCTCTCCCGCCCACAGATTGCATATAGTACAGAATAGAAGTACTTCTTCGAGCTGCCCATTTGCCCCCTTCGTACCACGCGGTACTTCGGGTTCTTATATTACAAGTCTTGGACTAATATCAACCTCAGTTACATTACGACTTACATTACGACCTGGTCGTCCCGTCTTTCGTTGTTCCAGAAACCTGCCGCCTCTGGAACGACGGAAGCGGGCCACCCTCTCCATACCAAATGCCTTTTTACCCTTTTCAACTCTTGCCTTTACCCTTTTGTGCGCAAGAGGCAAGGCTTGGTCTCTTTTGGAGGGCGTCTCTCGAGCAATACGGAGCAACTCAAACGCGCCCCACGCGACACGCATCAAGGTTGTTCCTTGTCTCGGGAACGGGGACTCTCTCCCATTTCCACCCGAGTTCGAGTGCTCTTTTTGCCCCTTTCATTTTTTCTTCTTCTTTTTTGTCTCCTTTTTTTTCGGTGTCTGATGTCTGACGTGAATGGAGGGACCTCTCTGACTGCCGCCAACAAGTAACCACATGTCGTATTAATCCTGACATTCCCTCTCCCTGTCCGTACCGTTTCCTTTTCCTCTTGCGGCGCAGTGCGTCTGCCTGTTTCTGTTTCTGCTTTCCGCGCTCTGTTTCCTATGTCTGTGGTCATTCCATGCATACGCCCATCAGCGCACCGCATCGCATCTAATGCAACCACTCTACCGCGCCATCTATGAATGCCCAGATGATCCTCGACGCATTGGGCCGAGATGATAGCCTTCGACATCTATAGTTGTCTTTTTATAGGATAAATTCTGATGCTGGAAAATAAGGGTTCATCTGGCGCATATCGAGAACATATGCGCAAGGCATACCTACATGCTTCGTACATGCCTTCAAGCATTCATTTTCTGCGTACATAGAGCATGCATACAACGGTTTCGTCGACAAGACGTCTATTACTGAACGATATGTCTCCCTCTTCCTTGCTTTCCCGTCTAGAGCTGCCCAGCCCCATCTCTTTAACCCTCACACTCGCCGTTGTAAGCTACCCACCAGTAAGACTAGTTACTCAGTACGTGGGAAAAGTCAAACTTCAGCTCTGTCAGAAGAAAATCGCCTTCATCGGCCAATGTCGCGCGGTTTTCGTACGACTCTCCCACACGCTGAAGATTATCAGACCCCCAAAAATACACACTTTCTGTCTAACCTGATCCTTTTTTCTTGGCTTTTCTTTCTCGTCCAGCCATCCATCGCAGCCTGGTAATTAAGCATTTTTTTGCATCGGGAAGCTGATCCGAAAAGTCGTCATCAAAAGGGACCCCCTTTCATCAAGCTCGCCGTCCCATCCCCGTCCAATGCAGAAATTACCCGTATTATCCGCAGAACATCAGTTGAAGGTGTGTATGAGCTTGAGGTGTCGCGCATTCTACGTAGGTAGAGAAACCCAGGATTCACTTCGAAACCGAGATCAGCCGCCAAAGGGCTCAATCTGGGGTTCTCCCATCTCAACGATACTTGCAGAACAGATCCCCTTTGCAGTCTGTCCCATCTTCGGTAAATAGGCGAATGTGAGAGAGGAACGAAGAGCTAATACCGTGCTACCTGCTTCCCTCCTCCAAACCCGTACCGTCGATATATAATCTACGAAAACCAGCTCCACGCCCATCCTTCGCCTCGCTCATTGCTGCTACGTTGTATCAATCTCTGCGCCACCTGGGGCTGCGTCATGTGTGTATACTCCGCCGTACGGAGTATCGATTCCATTTACCTTCGGTGATGCCCAAAAAGCGCTGTCATACCGAGGCAGGGCAAGGTGAGGCAAGGCAAGGCAAGGCGTCCTTCCTGTACGGACGTCCTTCCCTTCGCAACTCTCTAGCCCTCACATGATGGAAGATCCAAAGGCTTCGTATTTGTAGCACATTGGACGAACATGTAGCGTAGATCGGAGGAGTAAAAGAGGCTATCAACCAACGATGCTGCAGTCGCAAGATAGCCCGTCTCCAAGCTTCCCTTCCGTCGTTCTGTGAAACCCGCCCCCCGCCTTAATGCTGGAGGATCCCTGACAACGAGTTCGATATAAGTTCGGTGTTATACGAGGACCTCTTCTGTTCAATCATTGATACACCCGACAATACAATCTGCAGAGCCTCCTTCTCCCTGCCCCAGAGCCCCCAAACTTCAGTTTGAACAACAATCACCTGGATCCCCAAACTTTGGCCTTCCCCCCAGGAACGCCCAAAACGGGCAACCAACATTCCAGGAGTGATGTCCCGGCTTGATCCGTCCATCTGAGACGTCGCCGGCACAGACGCCCATCCTTTCCCCTTTTTTTTTTTTTTTTTTTCATTATTTCCCTTCCCCCCCATCTTCTTCCGATCAAACAAAAGATGGGATGGACATTCTTAGCAGGAGAGTAATAATTTCGGATGTGCCTCTTGCAGCGAAGATCTTTGCCCCTCGGTATGCTGCCCCAGAGCTGGCTGTGACCAAGGGTCTGAGATGAGGTTAAAATAAGTAGGATAACGCTTCCGGTAACTTCGTATTATTACTTAGCTGCCAAGATGGGAGATATAGAAACCCCTGCAAACTCTGAATCAGGTTTCGGCCAAGAACATGGCCTTGACTTCAGAATATATAAGGGTCTCACGGGTCCACGGGCGGCACGAGGCGAAAGTAAGTAAAAGTAATCAGATCACCATCCAGAACGGGGGCATATCGTGATGTTTGTCTTGGATTCCTAAATGTCTTGTCTTGTTCTATACCGGGAAACCCAAAGCAGAAGCCGAGAGGGTAGTAGAGTAGACCATAGTCAGACTAACTCAAGAAAGAGATAAGAGCCCGCAGGCCACCGAATCTGTATTTTCTTCTTCGGTCTCTCAAGGAAAGCACCCATCGACTTCATCAAACAAAACACCACAACCCCGTACATGGGGAATATTAACTCGAAAAAAAAAAAAAAAAATGTCAAATATTGGCCCCAGCTAGATAACCCTGGGAATAGCGACTGGCTCTCATCCAACAAGCCAGCAAACAGCTTTGCTTGTGTCCCCCCACAGCTCCTCTTTTCACTGCCCCCCATACAATTCGGTGACATCGTACCATGTTGAATCAGAAACTAAGCAGTCAGAGTCATCTCGCCCGCCCCATCCAAGTGGTGTGGCAAATGCATGCCCGCCACGGGGCTCGTCGTTTCTGTCCTCCGTCAATGTCGTTTGAACTTGCAAACAGAACCTTGTGTCAGCCTTGGTGAGAACTTCACCGTATTCATGGAGACACGGGGTGTAATTATCGCATCAACCAAAACTATTCCGAGGATCCAGATGCCAACGGTCGTAAATTCCAAGATCCATCTAATACTTAAAAAACCGGGACTTCATCACGGTTAGTTTACAGTTAACAGCCTCCCTACTCCTCATCCTCCCCATTCTCCCCCACTCCACCATCAACCCCTTCCTCATCCTCCTCCACAAACCCCTCCACCTCCTCCTCAAGCCCCTCCACAACCTCCGCCCCCCTCTCCTCCCCCAACTCCTTCATCTTCGTCCCCGTCATCTCAAAAACATACTGCCCCAAATGCTCCACCCCCTCCATGGCAACCTCTCCCTCAACACCACCACCAGTGCCCCCTTCCTCCGCCGCCGCTGCCTCCTCATCTGCAAGCACCCTCTTTGACGGCCACAGCTCCCCCGTCACGAGCATAAGCTTATCCGGTCGTCTAAGGAGCTGCTCGAACGCCGGCCTCAGCTCGTAGCACGACTCGAAAATCTCCTTGCGACCCAGTACGTAGAGACCTAGGCGCGCGCGGGAAAGGGCTACCGTCATACGGCGCACGTCGCGGAGGTAGCCTACTTTCTTGGTTCGCGTTAGGGAGAGGATGATGTCTGTAGTTATAGTGTTAGCCGTAATGATCCACTTATCAACATAAAGTCAAGACGGGTGGAGAAGCATACAATCATTCTGCTCGCCCTGATACTTATCCACCGTAGCAACAGCACCCGGCATCCCAAAAACCGGATGCCTCCTACACCGATGCCCAAGCACATCCATAACCAGCGCCCTCTGCCCCGCATACGTCGTCAAGATCGTAATCTTCTCCGCCGGATACCCCAGCAACCGCATGTACTGGTAAATGGCGACGGCGTACTCCGCCTCACCGAGGTTCTGGATGAAATGCGGCGTGGGTTCCGACTCGCCCTTGCCGTGGTAGTCGCCCACGTCGACGAACTGGTAATCGTACCTGAACCCGGCGTTGGCGGTGCGGAATTCCTCGTCCGCTTCGACGTGCGGGAGGTTGCCGAGCTTGCTGTACCGCCAGCTGTAGAGGGACGCGATGGAGGGGCGCGCGCGGCCTTGGAGGTCGAGGTTGATCGTCGGCGCGCCGAGACGCACAAGCCGCGAGAAGAGGGACTGCTCCATGTTGGCGTAGTTCCGGAAGGCGAGGTTCTGGATCACAGGGGAGTTCTGCAAGTGGTCGCCGCAGAGGACTACGCGCTGGAGTCGCCGACTGGACGCCTTGCCCTGAAGTTTGCTGTTGTTATTCTTGGGCTTGTTCGCCATGGCGAGAGGGATGAAATTTTCAATCTCCGTAATCTGCGCCGCCTCTTCCATGACCACGTTGTCGTATTGGAATCCTAGCGACGCGATCTCGCCTCTGCGCATGGCCGCGTGCGTCGACGTCATGGCGATAATGCGCGCCTTGCTCGTTAGCAGATAGTTGGACTTGTCCCTGTCCCGACGTAGCACCTCGAACGGCCGGATATCCGCGAGTTCGGCGAAAATCTTGGTAATGTGCCTGTAACACCCTTCGGCAATCTCTACGACCGTCTCGCGATCCGCATCCTCGGGGAACAGTGGCTGCGGCGCGTCTAAGAAGTAGTCGTGGAACGGGAAGGCCTTGGCAATGTCCTCGGCCGAAGAAGTACCATCCTCCTCATTCTCCTGCCCGTCTTCCTTCTTCTTCTTAAGGACCTCCGAAAACCTTTTCCACGCCGGTTCCACGTAGACCGAGTTAAAGTAGCCCGCTGTCTCGGCAGAGTTGCCATGCGCTCCAGGAGCTCCCATGCTAGCGGCAAGTTTGCTGACCTCAAGGAGATACTTGTCGCGGTTCTCCATGATCGACTCAACCCTGCCGAGCTTGCTGAAGCTCCCCTCCGTCTGCAGCTCCTCCTCGCCGTGGCCCAGACGCAAGAGATGCCTCTCGTCAATGTCCAGCGCCACAATCTTCGCAAATAGCTGGTTCAGCGCTTGGTTGCTATGCGCGATCAGCAGCGTCTTCTGCTCGGGGAAATTGTGGTAGATGTTGTTGATGATCTGGGTGGCGACGTCTGTCTTGCCCGTGCCGGGAGGTCCGACGATGATCGTGAGGCCTGGCTGCGTCCCGGACAGGATGGCCTCGGTCTGCGCCGGAGTGAACCGAACCGTGTTCAACTTGGGCGCGTCCGTAGGGTACGGCCCTAGGTTGGGCGGCTTATAGGTCGATACCTTGAGCGTTTCCACGTCCGCAATGAGCTCAGGTTCCACCCCTCTTCTACGCTTCTTGGACGGCTTCTCAGCAGGCTCCTGTGGCCTGTCGACCGACTCGAGGACGTAAGGAGGCGGGAAGCTTCCCGATACGTCATCGTCAGGCTCGATAATCTTTCCCGGTAAACTTTCAATCAGGTGCTGCCAGTCTAGGAACGTATCCCGGTAGTCGATAGACTTGATACGGTTCGGCAGCTGGCGGTACGTAGCCGCAGCCGGATCGCCGTAGCCGAGGAAGACCTCGTGAAGCCACGATGGCAGTGGCACCTCCGAAAGGGTAAGAGCCCGGATGGACTCGAGAATGGCCTTGAAGTTGTTTTCTCGGCTGTGCCGGCGGAGAACGACATTGATCCCCTCGTAGACATCCCCCTTGCCAGCTGCGAGTCTCGCGGCATCCTTGGAAAAGGTTCGCGGATCGAGCTTAAGCTGAATACGGCGCCGCCCATCGAAACCGCCAGCGTCCCTGATTAGTTTTCCCTTATCATCCGTAATCTGAATCACCTCGGCGGCGCGAACCGTGACGATGCCATGCTTTTCAGCAGGCGTCAGCTCTGTGGTGCTTCCATTCATCAATGATTTGCCTGGAGGCGGAGCAATGTTCAATAAGAATACGACGTCATCAGGACGCAGGGCATCCCAATCCCGTCTAACGTGGCCGGGAAGACGTCGGAATTCGAGTGTAACTTCTGCCCTGACGATAGATGGATCCACCTCGCCAATCTTGGGCGGGGCAACCTCGAGGATACTGCATTTTGCGTTTGTCAGGCCTATTAAGGAAAAGAAAACTAGAGCAAGGAGGAAACACTTACGTCGGCTTCGAAGTCGGAAGAGCCATCTTCGACTGCCCTCCAAACCAGACACCCCCATCCTTACCCACCTCCGGCTTCAGCCGCCTCAAAGCAGCAAGGATACTCTCACGAACCCCATGGAACGACTCCCCACGATACAGCACGAGCGACCTCCAAAGGAAATCGCCCACAGACAGGTACTGTAACTTCATCTTCGGCAACGCCAGCGGCCGCGACCCGTCGTAGTCGTCGGACCGAATCTGGCTATTGTCGAAGAGCGTCTGCTCCGTCGGGAGAACACTCATATCCCGCGTCGCCTCCTGGAACGACTTGCGCCGCTCGTAGGCGGACAGCAGGACCTCCATCAGGAAGGCGCGGTCCACTTCGAAAATGCGCGGGCCTGGGTAGTCCACTCTGAGCTGGAGCTTCTTGGCCAGCTCGACGAGTTCGTCGTCCGTGAGCGGCTCGAGGAGGGGAGCGAGCTCGTCCCGCTTGTCGATGGCCGCAAAGTTGGATAGGGCGAGTAGCTTCAGCTTGGATTCGAAGTGCTTCATGGAAATGCGTTGGAGCCGTCTGAGCGCGGCGCAGTGCCTCTCGTACGCCTCGGTTGAGTTGTACTGCACGAAGGTGTGGTCGTCGATGGGGAAGAAGGTGTAGTGGCTGAGAAGAGAAAAGAGGTCGCGGAGAAGGGAATTGTCTTCGTCGTTGTACATGGCGGATAGTCGAACGGCGGGAACGATGTGGAGGTCTTGGAGGAGGGCATTTACGTATCGTCGGGTCGGCAGCTGGCTCTGGAGGTCGGCGAGGAACTCGGTGAATCGCTCGCAGTACAGGACGTCATCTGGTGAGGCGACGTTAGTATGGTTATTGCTACTGGGGACACGGATGGTACGTGCCTTGGGAGCCAGACTCAGCATGAAGCAGGCGGAGATAGTCGAGGACCAGAGTAAACAGCCAAGACCGCTCAAACCGCAGACGAGCTTTGGTCGCATCATCCGCAGCATCATATCTCTTGACAGACGCCCTCCATGCCTTCTTCAGAGGATTGTGCAGCGACAGCTTCGCATCCCGCAGCTCTTCGGTGGACAAGTTGTGCCATATAGAGATGGATACCAGCGGCACACATTCTTTCCTCACAATAAGACTATCGAGACTCTGAAACGCGAATATCAGGAAGCACAAAAGACTCGTCCGGATCTTCGAGGATAGCGTCTGGTCGAGGAGCAGCGATAGTACTCGTCGGAAAAGGGCCGAGAAGTCATCGGGTCTGTCTTCGAATATGCCTAACATAAGAAAACGTGCTGTTAGCATGTCATAATCAAAAAGTAGGAAGGAGATTTGAAGAAGGAGAACCGCGATAGCAGTTTCTGAAGAGGCCCGTCACTTACTCCACGTCTCCAACTGCTCCCTCTTCTTCGCATTAACCAGCAACACCATCAGCAACACATGATAATTCGATGCCTCCTCCCCGAATCCGGGCCACAGATAACCCTCCAGTGCCTGCACATTCTCCAGCGCCAGCACCGACGAATACCTAAACCCTTCCCCCTCCAAAACATCCCATAGCTCAGTCTTCACCACATCATTCTTCACCTTGACCTTGCCCGACTTGCTCGGCTTCAACCAATGCTTCCGCGCCAAGGGCGCCCATGGGTTATCCTGGTGCGCTTCGCCAGGGACTCTCGTCGTCGTAGTCGTCGCTGAGGCATCATTGCCGGTAGATGGGGTGGAGGCTTCGATGGTCACGGCCTTGTCTTTCTTGGCTGACGCCGCGGCGCTGCCTTTGAGGCGCTTCGGCTTGGGCATGTCGCACGTGCGTCTCTTCTCTTTTCGGGGCTCGAGGTTTATTATGGACGGTTATATTGGATTGTATATGGATCGAGAATGTCTGTATACGTTGTCGCCGAATGTATTTGGGGGCGGGATGTTGAATGGCCGGTTTGCTGACGGATTGATGGGAATTGTTGAGTTATTCGATGATCAATTGCAATGCGAAGGCTGAAGCTCGAAAAAAAAATTGGTCGCCTTGTTCTGCCTTGCTCGTTCAGTTGCTGCCAAGAATTCAAGCTTGATTGATTTGATGCATGAAATCCAATTATTTAGTGGGGTTCGGACATAATCAACACACTCTAGGTTATAGCACGCATCGGCCTATAAGTTGAGCTTGAGAACGCGACCAAACTCACTGAAAACGCGTCTACGAAGGTCAATATTTTTGATTGATTTTTCGATCAATTGCCTCAATCCAAACAACATTAAAGCTTGGCAACATTCGATTCGAAGTCGACACGAGGTGGGACCAATTGATGTTTGACACGAAGTAGACGGGCATTCAACCACTGCATTGAGTAATTAGATGTGATCTGAAGTGGTTGGAACATAAATGTCACCACAGCAATTGGTCAATTACCACCAGCAGTCCTTATCAATAATCTCCTAGAAAATGCACCATAAGCGTACAAGAAGAAGGGAACAAAGAGGACAACCCAAGGTATCGTCATAATACGATAAAAAGACTACCATTTCATCAATAATCCACCGCGCGAGACGCAGAAAAAGCCGCTGCAAGCCAATTCCTCCCGCCAGCGTCGCCAATCTCGTCTGCCCAGTAGTTTCCCAAGTCTCAGGGCATCATCAGGTTCCAGGATTTCGAGACTCATCAGTTTCGTTTCTCATAAAGATGAAAGAATAAAAGCCAATGGGCCAGGCCTTTTGTACAAGGAGCGAGCCCATTACCACATAAAACCATTAGCTTATCCAGTCGTCGCCTCAAGTAACAGTTAAAAGAAGAAAGGAAAAAAAAAAGAAACGTAAACGCCCAAACTCTCCAACCATGGTGGTTTTTAAAGAAAAACGGAAAATAAATCGTTCAGGTTCGTAAGAAAAGGCCGTGTCTCATGCAGTTCAAAAAAATTTCTCATCTCAACGCATCGCCAGAACGGCGTGGGAGCTTATGGGCGGCGGCGGCGCCACCGAGCTCGTTCTCCTCGCTATCGGCGCAGATGCCGGCTGCGAACTCATTTCGGCAGCGGCTTGAGGTTGAGCTTGAGGAGGAGAGGATGCCGGATCCACCTCAGGCATCGAGGCGAGCCCAGCAGGTCCCAAAGCCGTCTGAGCAGCAGCGAGACGCGCTTCGAGTTCGCGCCTCTTCGTGAGAAGACTCTTGAAGGCGCCCAAACATTTAACAAGATCCTCCTCGTCAGCAGCGCAGAAGCGGTAGCTCTTTTCCTCGGTGATGATCTGCAAGCAGTGGGACTTTGTCTTGCTAATGGGATCGATCTCGACGACGTTGACGATGGATGAAAGGGGCAGGATGAACTTGGCCGTGTACTCGGATTCGTCCCGATATAGAATCAAGTTTCGAGGCCGGAGCACGGCCCACGTCTTCTTCCACTGTCTGACGCCACCCTTGCTCCTGAGGAACTGGAGCTTGCCCTGCCATATTACGCGGTCGAGATCTTGTTCGAGGTTAACGACCCCACTCCCCTGGCTCGTATTCCTGAGGCCCAACCTGGGACGGTCCCCCAAGCTACCCTCAGCCATAGCGGGGGGTGGTGACTGGAGGGTCAGGCTCTCTATCGAGGCTCCATGGGCCCGTCTCGCTTCCGTGTCAGACAGGTCTGAGTGGGAGGCAAGCTCGTTGCCGGAAAGGCCCGAGGAGTCGAGCATATGCGGAAGGTGGCGAGGATCGGGGGGAACAGTTAACGACCCGGGAGTCGCCATGTATTCGGGGGAGCTGGACAGCAGCCATTCTCCGGCGGGTTGCTGAGTGACCATTTTCGACGTTTGGGGAATGACAGAGGCGCCGGTCGACGACTGCCGGCTCCCATGGGGACTCGCAGGTAAGAACTCTTCATCCTCCTCGTCTATCCGGGCCTCCTTCCGGATCACGTCGAGCCACTCTTGCGCCTCGGCAGCAGACGCGGCCTGGAAGTGAAAGTTCTTGGATGGCGAAAACAAGCCAAAGACGTGATCCCTCTTATTTTTGGGGTCCTTTAGTGGAGCAACTGCAGACAGGTCGGTGAGATAAATCTTATACCGCAGCTTCTCTTCGTTTGCGTTCTTGTAGATAGAGAGGGTGTTGGGCCGTAGTACGAGGTATACCGGTTTCCAGCTTCTCGTCTTTTGTGTGCGCTTCTGCACCTTGCCCGCCTTGATCACTCGGTCGAATTCAAAGCTTCCGTTCTGGTTGACCGGTGCATATGGGCCGAGAAGATTATTTCGAGGCAGGGAGTGGGCGGCGTCGGACGGGGCGCCGGCCGACGTTGTTACGGTAGCCATCTGTGAGCTTATTCTTGCCGGGACGGTGGAGCCTAGAGGAGTCGTAGATAATAGGTTTATGGAACGGGTACGATAGTCTTTCGATTAAATAGGGCTCGGTCATGAAATTGTGAGGCAGTCACGATGCGAATTTCGATGCAAGAGACGAGAAACCGAAAGGGTGGCGGCAACAAAGGGGGACTGCCCGAACAGAGGCAATGAGGTGTGTGGGCGAGGAGAGGAATCGAATGACGTCGTAAAATCGCAGAATGCTACTTCCCTAGCGACAGTCTAAGAGGGGGTTCGCCGAGTCTGGTCGAGAAGATATGCGGAATGATAATAGAGTATCGGGAGGGTAGTCGTTAGGAATGCGAAGCTGATGCCTTCGACAAAGGCAGCGAGCCCGGAGGATTGTGTTGGGGTGAACTCCGTGATTCGAGATTAAGGTTATCGAGTCTATCCCTTGGCGGGCGAGGTAAAGCGCTGTTCGTTCAAGGTGAGAAAGGGCTCGATGACAGGTCTCTATTCAAGCGAGAAAGGCAAGCTGGCATTCAAAATAGAAAATCGGTTGAGAAAGGAAAAAGAGATTGTGAAAACTGTCCATTGCCCATGTCAGTCTCGCTGGTAGTGGGTGTGCTGATATCGGAGGTTGGGGAGAGCATGGAAGTGTAATAATACATCAAATCATTGTCGACGTACCAACAAGGCAACACAATTGCAGGGGGACCCAACTCGGTTAGCGCTTTGTGCTAAATCAGGCACTGCAAGGTCGAGGCCATTAGGCCCCTTTTTCTTTTCCCGAAGTATCCCAAGATCAATACTTTTTTAAGTTTCGGGATTCAAGGGCGGCTGGAGAATGAACGAAGGACAGACGACGATGTCGGAAACGAGTGGAGATGGCGAGGCGGGGAGACCAAGAGTGGACATTGGATGCTTGGATGCAAGGGTGTCAGATCTACTCTTTAAGGTGTTGATGTCCGATGTCTTCAATTGGTGCTTGGGGAAAGCACAGTCAGGGAATGGGATTATTGGATGGTTGGGTGGTCGCTGATAATGGAGAATCCAGGAGAAGCTGCTGGGGGTGGCTTTGATGTGTGGATACAATGAGCGGTCGATACATTGAGTCTTGTCCGAAACGGGTATGTATCGTTTCAAAAATTGTGTGGCAGGTCAGGCACGAACGTTGGACTGAGTACAAGGATGGCTCGAGCCGGGACGTTTCGGCTATGTACCCACTACCAGGTCAAACACATCCAAATCCCGAGATGCAGGATTACTACACTTGGACATTCCCATTTGCTTGTCCTCATTGTACCAGATCCGGACAGCACAAAAGCCGAAACTTAAAATCAAATACTTCAGAATTCGTATTCAGAAGCTCGAGAAACCTCCGTGGCATATGCACCACAATTGCATCGTCGAACCAAGAAAACCAACTGGCCGAAGTACTAGCTGGCCACGGAGGACAGCGAGGGGTTAGCCTTCACTAACTAAGAGGGCAAGTGCCTGTCATCGCTGTCATCGCGTGGAGTCTTGAGGGCCTGCAAAATTGGCCGCGGTCATCGGGTCAAGACACATAGCAAGGGCTGATATTGACGTCATAATCGCCAGCCATGCTTTCTCTATGAAGTAGGAAGCTCAACGGATTCTTCAAGTCTTGCACGGCAGGGGTTAAGACGAAGATTGGAATTAATTGAGGAATTAAATGAGGAAATTACAAACATGAAAAGAAGATTCGATGGTGGACATAATTAATACTAGTACAATTCCAGTCGTGGCCAGGCTGTATGAAGCAGGGTGCGCCTTTGTAGCCGCCAACATTTCCTGACTGATCATCCTTGCTTCATGGTTACTTCGTTGGCTGTCAAGTGTCAACTCGTGCTGTCCGCATGGTCTTGCCCATGATCATTCATGATCTCTTCCTCTTCTGCACTAGTCGGATCCGGTGCATGCTAACGGCAGTGGTGGTGACCAGCGACTCGTCGAGAGGGGGCAACGAGTTTACGTACAAATTTTCCACCTGGCATGTTTTAGTCTACCAGCAGACGGAAGAAGAGAGGGGAAGATGAAAATTGAAAACTGAAATTGAAGGCCTTGTTTGACTCACTCGGCGTACACGACAACTCAACTAAACTAAATAGAATCTCAAAACATACCATCTGTTAGCGTAAAGCGTGGGGTAGGCCGTGTCGGGCAAATCTGAAGATGGGTCGGCAGCCAGCAGACCATCTCTCCATCTGCCGCTGTGCTATTCTTGGCTTCAACTGAGAACCTCAATTGGACCAAATCAGTCCAAACAATCAAACTAACCACATTGAAAAGCCAAGCGATTCCAGCTGTCACGTCCCGAGTTTTGTGGAGCAGTTGTGGGGCGATTTCAAACATGTCGCTTGCCGTTTGAGTCTTCAACATCGACGTACGTAGAGGGCACAACTTCCACGAAGACAAGCAGCAAATATCAAATAAATAATAGAAAGAAAATCCCGTAGACTCTGCATTGCCCTCAATCCAGTCCAATTTCCTCTGCCTCCATCAATTGCAAGCCAAACCACCGAATACCCATCTCCTACACATCCATTGCCTGTAATATTCGCAGGAACATCAGGTTCCCCGGACTCCACCTCCACACCGACCAGAACGAAGATGGCACAGAACATTCCCGGCGCCGAAAAGGCCCTGACCGATGTAACGGCCCAATTGGCCGGAACACCCTACGAGGTCCTCTCTCTGCGAGCTCTAAGCGGTGGCACTGCCAACTTCATCTTCCACGGCGTCCTCAAGACGCCGCTTCCAGACGGGACGAAAGAAGTTGTCGTGAAACATGGAGAAGGCTTCGTAGCAAGCAATCCAGATTTTGCCATCTCGACGGCTCGCTGTGTAAGAAAGAGAGAAGCCTCGCACATTTTTTACCCTATTTTCGTCTTGCGCCAGCCAGCTGATATCATGAAAAGGAAATCGAAGTGGGCATCCTCGAACATCTTGGGGCTCTCCCACCATCGCAAAGTGGAGATTGGACTGTTAGGACACCAAAAGCCATACACTTTGACCCGGTGCTGTACAACCAAGTTCAAGAGTACAAGCCTGCCGCCATGAGCTTAAAGGACTATGCTCTCAAGCACTTCGGTTCCTGCTCTCCCGCGCTCGAGACATCTTGCGTCGGCCTTGGAGTCGCTCTGGGAAAGTGGCTACGGACCTTCCACGACTGGGTCAACGATGAGAAACAGAATTCTCTGAGGCAACTGGCGGAAAAGAACAAGGAACTCCAGGGGATCAAGCAGTACATCAACTACGGAGGCCTTTCGGGAAGGATAGAGAGCTTCCCCTCGATATTGGAAGAAAGCAGGGCACTTCTAGAGGAAGTTGGCCAAGTAACTGGTCAAGAGATTGCCGATAGTTCCAAATTAAGCATTGTCCATGGAGACTTTTGGACGGGAAAGTAAGTATCGAGCCCATTGCAATCCACATGAAAAACAAGAAACAAATAAAAGGCCCTTTCAGTGAGACGCCTTTGAGGTTTCGAATCAACAGTTATTCTGACTGCATTTTCTTACCCACAGCGTTCTACTCTCGGAGGCGCCAACCACTACGGAGGCAATACAGAAGGAAGTGTTCATTGTAGACTGGGAGATGCTCCAGCTTGGTGTAATACCCGTCGATATTGGCCAGATGGTAGCAGAGTTATATGAGCTCAAGCTTTACAAGGATATCGATGCCGGACTATGGATAATTAGAGGATTCTGCTCAGGGTATGGGTCGGTGGAGAAGGACTTTGGGTTTAGGGCTCTGGTTCACGTCGGGGCTCATCTCCTCTGCTTCGGTACTACAATCGCCGGCTGGGGCACCCCGGAGCAGGTCGAGGAAGTTGCGCGGGAAGGAAGGGATATCCTTACAGCAGCCTGGAAAAAGGACGAGGCTTTCTTCAAGGACCATAACCTCAGCTGTCTTTTGGGGAGCTGAGGTACAGAGGGCGGCGGCAGGTACGATGCTCTAGGTCTAGGCCACACTATGAATAGAGCTTCTTCCGATTCATTGTCCCCTCACCAATCAACCGTCCCTTCCTGGGGCATCTGAGTCTGAGGACTTGTTCCCTAAATCATTGTTGACATGCTGATCCCGTTCCTTCCGCTCTCTATCACCACGGAAATAATACATCCATATCTTCTGAACCTCCTGTGATTGTCCTCTTGTTCCTTCACTATTACACCGGACACACACACACACATATATATCCATCACAAGCACATTTCCAACCTTCTTAATTTTCTGGACCTGTCGATTCTCTCTTGGCCACCCAAACTGTTTACTCTCTGATTGTGATTCTAGTGTGAAGTCTGCAGAGGTATTTGACTGTCTGTGGAGCCCCTCTTCAGCCTTTTTATCACCTCCTTCATTGACTATATTGGCTAACACCCTTGAATATCATCAGACAATAGAGACCACAGCATCTTTAGAGCTTGGAGAAGGCATGTTAAGCAGGGAAAGGCAATTCAAGCAAGATGTGTCCGGGCACCGCAACAATTCTCGCAGTCGATCTGCTGTGGGGCCCGGACAACCCTGATTCGATTTATGGCACTTTAGAGCTTGAAGAGGGTATGTTAACAGAGGGAAATGCAATGTGAGAAAGATATGTCCGGGCGCAATCTACGGCACAGTCGAGATCTGACATGGTCGCGGTCGACCGCAACCTTTTCAAAACCTTTACAGAGAGGTAAGCCGTTGAAGATACACACCACACCCACTAAACCGTTTCAACATCAACAACTTCCCGGGCCGGCGCGTGGGGCATTGATATCTACCTAGTCTGCAGAAAGCGAATGTGTTCCGGCCAGTATGGTGGATTCGGCGGTTTCGAGCCAGCTGGGAGGACGGTGATCTCCCAGAGGTAGGCGTCTATCTGACTCCTTGCCTCACTTGGACGTCTGTCGATGCCGAGTGAAGCATGTTCTGAACCGGCATACTGGCGTGTCCAGGGCTGTACTCTGTAGGCCTCTTTTTCCCTTCCGGCCAAGTATAGTGTGGCGACATTGTTGACGAACTGGGTGTGTTATTGGTCTTAACAGCAAACCGAGTTCTCGTTCTATGGCTTCAGACTCCAGCATGAACATGCTCTGCTTCGAGACTCTCGAATCGTTTTCTGCCGCCTGACTCAGACAACCCCGGCAATTTACTCATTGACAACAGAAGGCGCTGTACGGGAATCGCGTCATGCGGGGTGAGCCAAAGGCGGCTTCTGTTCGACCGCGACATCGCGTACATCGACACCCGCCACCTCATCACGGATGCTCGCCTAACCCACGCTGGCGAGGTTGAATTCCATCGCGCCATATAAAGGCTAGGTCATCCACCTTTGGCAGCTCTTTCTAAACTGTTGTAGTATATGAGCTTATTGATATTTGTACGATGGGAGACTTACTACACAACGAAGCCAACGCCAATATTGCTGGTCTCGTCTGGTTGTCTAAGCTCGGCCTTATGGATAACTACGACAGAGTAGCGGAAGCTATATAACTCCGACTCCTCGCGACGCGCCGCCCTATTGGTTTTGCTGCGGCCCAACTCGAGGCCCCTGGTGCTAACAGATATGGGCACAATGGTCCGGCGCTGTCGCCTACCCGCCTGTATGGGTCACACTCGCGGCAACGATGTGGGATATAGAAGTCTTTTCCACAGAACTTCATAGGACCATTGCACGCTCCTACCAGGACGTCGCGTCCGGCCCTTCGGTTCCGACAAGTCGCACAATCAGCCTGACCGAACAGCGAGTCTTCTGGTATTTAGGACGCAGCAGGCGTTGTGGGTGGATCCCGGGGTACTTAATCCCAGGATTGATCCCCTTTTTTGGGCCCGACACCGAAAGATACAGGCGAAAAAGTAGAAAAATAGAAAACAGCTCAAAAATCTATTTCTTGCCATCATCTTCATTTTGTCCAGGCCCCGTGCTTGTGTAAGGGTCAAGATGTTCTCGTTCGGCCTCGAAGACCAACCCAAAGTTGTAGAAACGGGAGTCGGCGTGATTCATGTACCACTGTAGAAATTAAGAAATCCGAGGATGCTTCATCCCGGTTGCGGGTAATCACGGTGTTCTCCCGTGAACGGCCAAAGAGCATCTTGTGACGGAGAGGCTGTGATTTCCTAAATAATACCAATTGTACGCGGTATGGGAGTTTCGCCAAGTTCTTCCTCAAGGAAAGGTGAAGTTAACAAAGTAAGGCTCGGTCTCTAGAGCCGATTCTGGTTAAGTCATTTTAATGGATTCCGCCCGGCCCGGGACTTGGCGGGTTTGTTTCCTTGCGGGGCAGAGCTAGTGCCGTTTAACTCGGGATCTAGTTTACCTTGCTCCGAGCTTCGATGTAAATTTACGGAACAAGGCCAAGCATCGTGATAAACAACATTCACGCTTCGTAGTCCTGGAAGGGAATCATTGTCCATGCCAACACAAGGTTCAGTTTAGCATGGATGCGGCTACACATAATCCGTCCACTGTAGCTTCGCGAGAGACGAACTCGTCGTGAACCAATCATGAGGTGTACTGACTCCATTCTCATCCACTTCCCAAGTACCATCTTCAACTAGGGACTTCCAATGCGTCAGGACCTCAGCAAGGCGCGGCGACCTCGACGGCTCCCAAGGACACTGCCCACTGAATCCCACAGAACACTGATGGCCAGATCCCGCAATCTGCCGAACAAATCCATCACATCCATCGGCAGGGTCAGTATAAAGTCCCGCCCGCCGATTTACCATCCATTTTCCAAACAGGGCTCGGAAGAATATTAGCCTGACTAATCTATAAGTGTCTCCGCAGCGGGGAAGGCGGAACTTAATTTACTCGTACATCCATCTACCCTTTTAACCTGTATCGTCTTCGCAACGAACTTATATAGTGGTCGTGTTTTAGCACCCCCTGAGCAGCAACCTCTGGCCCTTGTGTCGCGTTCCATGGTAAAACGAAGCACCTCAGCAACCGTTATGAAAGCCGCGCTTTGTGAGGACTGCAGGGACTTCCTGCAGAGCAATCACAACGACAAATGGCGACGCTTTATGGACAGCCCGGAGTACAAGAGATCCGTCGCTAAAGTTCTACGTGCCGCTGACGTAGGGTGCCGCCTCTGCGAAGCTATAGTAAATAAGTTCAGATCCCTCCAGTCAGAGCTACTATCGCTCGCCCAGACCCATGGTCAACCAGTCACATTCCGCTTGCTCATAAGGCCCTACGAGAATACGAACCTGCAATGGGAGGAGGATATTGACAGACCATTCTTACGGGTCTCTATCTCACAACTACCGATTGAATTCCGCTTGTGGCGCGTAACAGAGGGGCCTACAGCAAATAGTGCATCATACAACGATCATAACACAAGCTCGGAAACCAGCTTCGCAAGGGCAGCAGAGTGGCTGCGCGAATGTATGCTGGAGCACGACAGCTGCAACGGAGTCAATACCCCCAAGGAATGGGCCCCAACCCGGCTGATCGATGTTGGATCGAGTTCTCCGTTCCCCGATATAGTCAAACTAAAACAGACCAAAGGCTGGCAAACACCGATACGGTATGCCGCATTAAGTCACTGTTGGGGTGCTGTACAGCCTCTTAGGCTATTACAGAGCAATCTGCATGCACTTATGGATGGTATCTGTTTGGCAAACTTGCCAAGGTCTTTCCAGGACGCTGTCTATACTACTCGAAAGTTAGGAATCCAGTATCTTTGGATAGACTCCCTATGCATTATTCAAGACTCCAATGAAGACTGGGACCTGGAGTCATCTCTGATGACAGATGTCTATGGCGGATGCCTGCTGAATATCGCAGCCGCTGCATCGAACGACTGCACAGGTGGTTTGTTCCAAAATCGACCATCATCTTACTTGGGCCCCTGCCTGATATCGGTGGAGAGCCAAAACGGCGCCTTGGTATCACGGTATCAACTATGGGACGAAAATATCTGGCATGCTGAGTTTGAAACCGCCAAGCTCAACACACGCGCTTGGGTAATGCAGGAGCGCATGCTATCACCGCGCACGCTTGCCTTTACCAAGGCGCAACTCTTTTGGGAGTGCAGGTGTAAGCGCGCCTCTGAGGAGTTCCCTTCGGAATACCCTATCGAGCTTTTCGAGAAAATGCAGAGGGGCTTCGAGCAGCCAAACCTACACAATAAACTGAAGACATATGCTCTAAACCACCATGCAGATAGTCGATTAGGTGACGATCACATACCGCGGCTAAGCCTTGCTTGGCACAACCTAGTCATGCTTTATTCAAGAAAGGACATGACCTTCGAGCAAGACAAACTAGTCGCAATCAGCGGGCTGGCTATTCTATTTTCGCAACAAATGGGCATAGGCTACTTCGCCGGGCTATGGAAATTTACTTTGCTTAGTGACCTTCTCTGGGAGGTCAATGCCGACAAGGACGTCAGAGATCGGCCCTTGACCTACCGAGCCCCTTCGTGGTCATGGGCTTCCGTGGAATGCCCTGTGGAGTATCTCCCCGGCTGGGTCGAGTCAGAAAGGGTTACAGTCGTCGACGTCAAGATTCAAAGAGCGCCAGGGAACAGTCAGTTTGGTAGAGTAAGAGGGGGTTACCTTCGACTTCAGGGGAAGCTTTTCCCTGATCTCAGTGTCGTCTTTGATGCAGAAACCCTTTACTCTCTAAGGAAACGCGGCTTAAAGGGCACCACACTAGTTGCAAGTTGCAAACCAGACGAGAGAGTAGGGCCCGCAGATACGCAAATGGAACTGTTGTGCCTGCCTGTCGGGTCATATTTTGACTCTACTCGAGCTATGGGAGGGTGGCACTACGAATGTAGAGGCCTTGTGTTATTAGTAGCAAGGAATCAGCCTAGGGGCTATTATAAGCGATGGGGTACCTTCGAGGCGACACAGTCCGCGTTTTTTAAAGATCCTTACAACCAGGCGCCTATCGAGCGTTATATTAATGGCGAAGAGGGTATGATTGCCAT